GAAGATGCTTTATGTAAAAATAAAAAAAATTAAAATACTATAAAATTTTCTTAAATTAATTTTTCTGTAAAGGGACAAAAATCTTTGAATTTTTCATAATAATGTCACGTTTAGCCTTCCATAGATGAAAAAAAGGAACGAATTAAATAAAAAATAATTTTAAAAATAGAATAGTAGAACTACGTTTGTTAATCTTTTCAATTTTGGATTCGTAAATTTCGGTTCCACTTTATCACCTCGAGGAAATAGCCCAATACAGAAATTTACACAATTTTTAAAATATTATAACTTATTACAATTACAATTTTTAAAACAATGAAAAAAATTCTTGTAAAAATTCATTATTCATCAGAAAAATTGTATTTCTTCAGACAGTAGTGTCCTTAATATAACTTATTTATAAAAGCAATTAAAAGCTTTTCTAATTAAATAATGTCATAGTTTTATTACAATTATTATTTTTCAATTAAGATCAGATTTTCAGTTAGAATAATGAAAGTTTGAAAACAAATTAGATGATTTACATTCTCAAAGGAGTCCTACTTTTAACGAATAAAAAATTCAGGAAATAGAAAGGTATTTTGCGAAAATTTATGAAATTAAGTAATGGAGGGCAAATGCATATATATATATATATATATATATATATATATATATATATATATATATATATATATATTACCCAAATTTAAAAAAAAAAACAAATTAAAAAAATTTTTAATTCATTTGTGAATATGGGAATAAATCTTGAAAATTTCACTAAAATCGGTCAATTATTTGATTTTTACAAGAATTTTCAAATCAATGTGTTTTCAACGGAAAAAGCGGAAAAAGTCAATGTACGCCACCCCGATAACGTAAACAAAACAAGATTTCGAACGTGTTAGAAAGGATTAAAATTTTTTAAAAAATAACAAAAAATACTTTGGTCTCCCATCTTAATAATAACATAACATTTTGACGATAAAACTTTATTTTTATCAAGTTTGTGGCCTTTTTCATGACGCTATGCTGTTTTTCCGCGAAAAGTGGAGGTACCTAGTAAAATGCTTTAATGATTAATCCAAGTTTCACTGTACTCAATTCATCAATTATTTAAAAAAACAAACCTTGTCATAATAAAACTGTCGATAAGAACGCTAATGCGAGTGTAATGCTGCCCAAGTCTCCCCAATTTTAATCCAATATAAACGATAATTTGAATTCTAAAGACGAACATTGATGTCACTCTATAATTGGCACCTGTTCATAAAATGACAATCACATTTGTTTTCAATGTGAAAAGTTTTGTCACCATGATTAACTTTCAGAAAAGAAAAATTCACAACTAACCACGCATGAAAAATCAGCTGAAAGGACTGACAATTATATCCCCGCCACAACATTTTCTTATCGCCTCTCCATACACATATTTTTATATATTGAAGCCTAAATTCAATTACACGCTTAATCTTGATCGTAGGGTAATCACCCATTTCCTCATATCACTGACAAAAATAAAATAAAAACAAAGCAAAACACTGCAAACCAAAAACAAAAATATTTTCTTCGTTTTTTTTTTCATTTAACTTTGCAACAACTTTAAAAAAGGTTTTCTAGAATTTCTTTACTAAACTAAATTTACAATTTATCTTGAAACAAAAGTCAACAGTTGTGTGCAATTTTAACAGTTTAGGATTGTAATATTGTTCATAGACTTGACCTTTAAAAAAGGCCATTTTTGCTGATAATTGTATAGTTGGTGGTCTTTTATATACATGTAAAATCATTTGATGATCTTAGCGTCAGATTAAAAGAAAAAAAAAATGAAACATTCGTTTCATGTGTCTACACACATAGGCAGGTGGCTACGTGTGTGTTAAAAAAAAAAGAACATAGAACAAATTTACCGAAAGAAATGTTCAAAATAACGACGTATATGTTTGACGTCCATCAAGAGAAGCAAATTTACTTTGAAACCATTTAAAGATCGATTTAATTTTTTTTTTACTTTTATCATTTTTTACTTTCTGTCAAACATGTGAAAGAGTCTATTCACATAGAATTGCTCTAAAATTCTGTTTCAAATAATTGAAAATAAAAAGATAAAATGTTTATTTACCTGTTTCAAAGCCTAGACTTTTTTCTATATTTTATCCACCTGAAGTTGTACAATCCGCCCACAGGTTTATCGAACGTTTATGTGTCGTATTATTAACAACAAAATCTAATAGAATTCTCTTCTGGTGACGTCTTCCAGCCTTCTTAATAAATAAAATAATAGACTTTGTTGAGAAACATACATTTGCCTTGTGATAATCAGTGTTCGATCTTACTTTCTTTACTCGGTCGTAGTTTAGTAAACTAATCAACTGTATTGAAATTACTGACTGAGGAGCGGTGACTGTGACGACAACAACACAAACAGCCGGCTTCCCCTTGTCAGACAGACCACCGGCAAGGTTCCGGATAAGTGGTCGCATATTACTAATTGTTTCTTGTTCCCTGTTGCAGTCAAAGCTTCATGTGTACCAAAATACACACGCAATAATACATGTATGAAAATCATGGTAACTCCGCCTTCTGCCAGGAAAGGACGAAAGAAAAAGAAACACGCGCAGTATAAGGGAAAAGAAAAACACAGATATGATAATTGACGCAATAATTCAAACGACGCAATACGTGCACGAGAAGCCCTCGCATACGCTGGTACATAAGTGTTGAAAGCAAATTTATTACTATAAGTCAAAAAGATGGAATTTGAAATTCAATGTTTTTTTTTAACTATTCTAAAACTTTAATGACTTTACGTTAAATTTAATTTTCAAGTCTTCTAGGTGTTTCTTTAAGCCACTAAATTTTTCTGTTTGGAAGTAGCAGGTTTATTAAAGCTTTGAATTCTCACATATGGTATTTAAATTTTTATGGCTTCTTTGTTCTATATACGAACGACATTTTGTTTTATTTAGTTTAGCCATAGGTATAAATACACAAGACAGTGTTTCGATGTCATCAGTTTAAAACTAGATATTTATGATAATGACACAAATATTTCCTCCTGTCTTAATAGTAAGTCCGATAGGCCCGACAAAATAAAACTGGCACCTGCTCTCACACATGCTATTCAATCAGTTGTTAACTAGTGCAAGAAAGGGTTTGTAAATTTTAACACTCCCAAAACGAAACTGCTACCCTTTAATCATAATAGAGAAACATTTTTATCCCCCATTAGCATGGCTAATACTAACTGCCAGGGGAAAGAAAATCATTCCGCAATCTCGGTCTCACTTTTTCTACTGACATGAAGTGGAGTGATTACATTTTAATCAATCGCTAGGTCTGCTGCTAAGAAGGTTGGTTCACTGTTGTGCCAGACAATTTTTCTCGTCAGAATCCATCTTGCACATTTATAAATCTAACACTCGTGCGTGCGTGCATTCAATATTTCTGCCATATTTAGTCTGGTGCTCCAGGTATATATCTCGAGATACTGTCATCTGGATTTTCAGTTTTATCGGCAATAGTTTTAAGGATCGTTCCAGACCTTGATTATGACCTTGGACTCACAAAAACATAATTTATTATGGACATCCTAATCATCTTTGCAGAGTTAAATTTGTTTCAAATATCAAGCAACTATCATTTAGGAATTCTAAGATAGTATTGAAAGGAGCTTAAAAGTTTCGATGAGGGTCAATGTCATTGGACTCGTTAGAACTAGGATAATAAAACAATGACTGTGCAAGCGAATTCAATTTGGCCATTGTAAATAAATTGAACAAAAATATACGCTATTCTTGAAAATAGAAGTAAAAATTATGATATTCTTCCAATTCTAGTAAACCAGACCTTATCTGAAAGGTAAAAAGAAAAAATTTTAAAATTCAAAAATACCGAAAAATTGAAAAGCCATATGACATAATTTACAAAAGTACTGTAGAATGCTGGAATTTATTTTGGATGCCTAGCAGTCACTTGATTTTGAGCGAGAGACACAAATGGGAGTGAAAATAGGGTAAAAACAAAAACAAACAAAAAAAAACTAAAATCGAACATATATTTCATTTTGAATTTTCTTCCTGACTGTCTTTAGACGCCACACATGCAGGAAAAAATGAAATATATATTATTTCTTCATCAATTTCCTGAAACAAATATTAACGAATAATTAATGAAGACATGAACAGATTTTCACCTGTGCAAGTAAACTAACTTGTATCTAGTGAATACTAAGGACCCCTGAGAGTGGAAATTACACCTGCTTGTATTTACAAGCACAAGTTCCGCATGGAAGACAGCACCGCCATATTAATTGCCATCAAACAACCAGAAAAAAACATTAACCAGGTGACGAAATAAAAGACGAAGAAAATTAAGGACTTAATTATTAAAATGTTTTCGTTCTCTTTCGAGCGAGTCATATACATTTCTTTTAGTGCCTCACAAAATAAACTTTTCACTATGCAAAAGACAATTTCTCTCATTTTGAAAATATCCCTATGCACAGAACTCAAAAAATCTATTCTTTCTTTGGTATTCTGGAATCACTCTTACATCCCCGTCCTTAACGCCTAAAAATACTTTCTTTGGGTTTCGTTTTTTGTGAAGTTAGTTTAAGATTAAAAAAGTATTTCTAAGAAGTATTTCTATGAAGAAAAACAAATTCTTTATTTCAGAAAACAACGGAAATTTTTTTACTTCTGAATATGACCAAGAAAATTATTAAAATTATTTTATTTATTTATGTTTATAGTTTTCCAAAAAGCATTACTGTATAATTATTATCTTAGACATTTTATATTTTTTATCAAGGCTTTACGCATAAACAGTATGTTTGAATGGTTTGAAGCGGGAGAACCGTTTGTTTAATCATTCGTCTTTTTAATTTTGTTTCCATGAACCTTGAAAGAAAAAACATATACATACAAAATATATACATATAAAATAAACTGCCATTGCTCATTTGTGATGATAATATGAAAACTTTATATAATATGTTTAAAAGGTTTTTATTAAAGAAATTAATTTCGGTCATTCAAATTCGTCTGATTAAGCTGAAAAAAAGAAAAAGAATGAACTTCAATAGAAAGAATCATTTGCAGATTATTTTCTCGAAGATTTTAACATTCACATCACTAAAGACTTGGTAGTTTAAGAATTTATTGTCTTGATGAGATTTTGTAAAAAAAACTTTACCAATCGGTATCTTATCCGAAAGTTGTGTGAGAATTTGAACGTGACGATCATTTGCATAATCAACCATGCACTGAGAACGATCCTAAAATTTCTTGCAATAACCCAGAAAAGAATGAAATTGATCTGAAGAGATTTCGTTAATATTACGTGAGTTGTCACTTGATTCTCTGGAGTGGTCGCCTGAAACCTTTGGTTGTGAAGATAAAATAATGGTCTAAAGCTAAGGAAATGTCGGACTGCTCAAAAGATTTAGTGTCCGATTTATTTGGCGAATGCTATTAGATGACCTTTACACTCTTTAATATATAATCTGTTATACCTTTCTTTAACGAATACCAAAATCGTGGAAACAACATAAAGCAGAAATAACGACACGATGGAAATAACATTATTTATCTGAACGCCAACTAGAATGGAATATAGTACAAACTCAAGTTTAAAGTAAAGGCCCCAAACATGCATAGGATCAAAAGCTTAAAATAGCACAGCCCCATTAGCACTTCTTCATTTATGAACCTCTCAGGCAGTGGGGATTAACCTTAACGCCACACCAGAGAGAGTGGTACTGCCTAGTTAGACTTCCTCCATGATTGGATACGATTATAGAGATAAGAATAATTTATAAAGAAAGTTCGCTCGCTCACACAGTGATCCTGGAATGAATTTAGATAAAAATCTAAAACCGGACCAAAGTTTATTTGTTTAGCATATCCTAAGCCACATCTCAGTCTTAGTCTGGGAGAAGACAGGGAAATTTTGTGCTAACCTTCATAAATGTTGAACGTCTGATTGCAACTTTAGAAATCAGCATTTGAAAGTTAACCGATAACCACAATAACTATTAATGCAGCGCGCTGTGTTAGTAGTAAGTGTTTTAGACTCCACAATCATCAAGTGATAAAGATTTGTTAGGGGCGCTACTGTTGCGCACGCGCGCGCGCACACATACATACATACATACATACATATATATATATATATATATATATATATATACATACATACATATATATATATATATATATATATATACATATATATATATATATATATACATACATACATACATATATATATATATACATACATACATATATACATACATACATACATACATATATATATATATATATATATATACACACACACACAGAGCAAAAAAACAAAAATGACCTCAACATGGAATAGTCTATGTCAAGCCGTTTTGTACGCGGCTATCATCCCTAAGTGTCTCGGAGCATTGTTTATTTATTTAGAGTTTATTTATGGCTAGAACCTTTCGTTGTCTGTAGTTAAATATCAGTTCCTACTATGTGGCGTTTCTTATACGAGTCCCAAGTGTGTTTTTTTTTTTCTGGGATTCACACTAAATAGTTTTTGTACTACAAGAGTCTAATATTATTAATAAGCGATGGGGGATTTAAACTTAAACCCGTTATGAATGTAAATTAGTTGAATTATAGATTTATAGATTGTGGGTAATACCACTGCACCCAATGGAATAAATCATGCTGTCCAACATACTTATATGCGTACACATCTTCATACATACATATATCTACATTTACATGTCCATACATATATGCCACTATCCACGCATATACACACATGTATTCTTATGTAATTTTAAATCTATTTCTATGTCATCATTTTGTGATTAGTTCTCTCCGTTGATTTAATAGTTCGCATTGATCCTAAAACTATTGGTGTGTTCGCGAAACATAGAATTTTCCAATTTATTTGAGGATTCAGACCCTTTTCCTTCAATTCCTTTTTTTTTTTTTTTGAAAGGCTGTTTGGTGTTTTAATTTTGGATTGGTGAATGAGTGTCTGTGTATTGATTCTTTTTTTTAAATTCTCCTGCAGAAATACCGATGTAAATATTATGGTTTGTCATATTTTCTTTAGGGGTAATGGTTGCCTGGTATACTACCTTAGTGGATCTGCTATTGCCCTCTACTGGGTAGTTTTCCTTAATTCTACAATTTTCGGTTTCGACGTTAGATTTAGTTTTTTTCCCATGGAATTTTCTTAAAATGTAATTGTTATGGGAATTAATAATTTGGTACATATTATCGGTGCAGAAGTAGCTAATTTTGATTTACTTCCTGTTGAATATTTTATTTAGTGTTTGGTAATTAAATTTAAGAAGTACTGTCCGATGTTGATACTTGACAGTTTGCAGAAGGGGGAGGTGAACCAAGTGATTTTTCTTTTCCTATTTTTACACCTACATTCCACTTTTTGTGTATCGGTATTACTATTTGTGGTCGCGAAATTTTTTTAAAACACTTTTTCGTATAGTTCTTTATTCTTATTAAAGATGTTTTCATTGGACGATAGTTTACAAATCCTGGTGCAAACGGTGGTGGGTATTTGTCTTAGGAATGCACTGGGGTGGTTAGAACCGATATTAATATAGTTAGGGCTTTCGTTCTCTTTATGTTTAGGTTTAAAGGTTTTATTGTTAAGGTTAAGGGTGATATCTAGGTATCTTTTTTAAGGTTAGGGGAAATCTCGATTTTAAACCCTAGGAATTTGAAGGCCCTGATAATTTGTTTTTGTAATTTCGTTGTTATTGGACCATTACTCTTAGGGATGAGGATGAGCCCACCATCTCTATACAGTCCTATTAGTATTCCATTCCATTATTCACCTCAACTACTCGAATATTATACAGTGAAAATCTCGGATCAAAGTTAAGTCAATAACTATCATTCTCTCGGATATATATATATATATATATATATATATATATATATAATAAACTGGCCAGTGACACTCAATATGTTTGTTTACCTTTTGCGTATTGAATTTGAGGACAGTCGTTGAAATGATGAGTTTAAAATTGGCATCAAGATTCTGTACAACGGCATTGTATAAACAATACTTTAATGATTTCAAACAATGGTTTCAACGTCAATATAAACTTTCATTGAGTCTTCTTTTTTCTTTTTGTATATTAGCATAGATTTAGTTCTATTTACAAAGATTGCGTTCTTTACAAACAACTTGTATGGAAGTCTTGTATTTCAGTGAATAGGGTGTGAAGTCTTTACATCTGAAACTACTAAAAGAATTTTCTTCCGTTTTTTATATACGACTGATATTGCTTGATGAAGAGATCAACGATTGTACAAAAATTTTTCGCTAGGTGTGATTAAAGAAAAAATTGCTTTTTATAGAATCAAGAAAGGAGGAAGCAATATGGCGTTGTTAACTCAGAAAGCAAATACGTAATCAATAAACAAAAATTTGTCCATTTCTTTAAACGGCGTTATGTAAAGCAGATGAAGCTGCACTGTCGAGACTTCAACAGTAATTCTGGTTTTTAATATCGAAATGTTGAAAATGGTTATTTATACTTAAAATTAGAATGAAATGAATATATCCAGTATAAACTTCTCTTCAAATGTTTTTGTAAGATTGTTTCGTTGAAGAAATTCAGTTCTTGTTGATAAAAATGATAACTGTGATGGTAGAATCAGTCTTATGTCCAAAAGTAAAATGAATAAATTCAAATTGTTTATTTTGTCTAGTACTTAAAAAATTATCAGTCTGGATATTTTTTTTTTACTGATCTAATTTTTTAAAAATATTTATATTCACTGTAGATTCGTTTAAGGGCAGTAAATTGGTGGATCTTGGTAGACACGAGCAGGTTTCACCTGAAAAAAAAAATTAACAAGTTATTATATTGTAGAGGATTATTATTCAGTGTAACGTTGGGGTTACCATCTGTAGAGTTACGTCGGGACTAGCTACAATTTGTAGAGTGAATTCGGTTGCGTGTTCAAAGTAACGTAAATTCTCAACACATTTAATTACTTCTTCAACGAAAGACAGAGCAATGAACAAAAATGAGATAACAAAACAATTTTATATAGCAACAAACAAATTTTCATTTATAAAGCATAAGAAAATACAACAATTTATGCTGGAATGAATTCAGATTTGTAAATGAAATCTGTGTGGTGTTTGTTTAAATCCTTTATAAACTCTTTTTGAGGTGTTTGGAATGTAGTTTGTGAGTTTAAATGAAAGATTGTATGTTGAAGTTGTTGTAATGAAAAGTTCACAAAGTCAATGAAAGTATTAATCTGTTTACATGAAATTTAAACAGTTTTGTGCAATGTAAATTTTCAATGTAGCTTAGAATAAATTTAGTTGTGGTAAAAGTATTCTTCTTTTGACTGTTTTTGTCAAGAAATAATGTTGAATTGAGCAAATTCATAAGAGAAATAATGTTCTGTGATTAAGAACTTGAAGTGATAAGCAATTCTCTGCTGTGTAATAAACGAAGTTGAATATGAAGATGAATAAGTGATGTCTGAAAGTTTGGATTATGTTAAAAGGTAACTTTAAAAACTTCAGATGATAAAGTGGCATGGATTTGTTTAGCAACTGGTTTGTGGTCACGATGCTCACTAGCGAGATGAGTTTGTGTGCTGAATTTATTTACTTGGGTGAACACGTGATAGGCTCCAGAAAATTAGCGCCAAAATATTTAACTCGATTACGAGATAAAAAATAAATGTGCATTGGTGGATGGCGACGCCCCCTTGCTTGTTTACGAACCAATCAGCAAGCGAATTCTTGGAAAATATATATGGAGCTGGTTTTGTACAAGAATATCGCTGGGATCCACTTTTAGGTGGCTTTTGCACAGATTTTAACAAGATCGTGTAGTGAACCACTTTTAGATGGTGTTTGCACAGAAGTGTAGAATTACGATTCTACAATATTCTATCGAAGTTGTTTTACACCAAACAAAATCTTAATAATATCCGATAATGTATTATTAATAGGTTTGATTATGAACGTAAGCAATTGCTACACAAACTCTGCGATTCGAAAAAGTAAAGTCTGATTATGCGCCCGTAATATTTTAGATTTTGTAACGACTTGATGTAAATGAATAATACAATTTATCAAATGTAGCTTCTACAAAAATATTTTTTTACCACGGGAAATAAATGGCAACTAATTTCCTCTTCCTACTTTCTCGTTCACCAGAAAATTTTTTAAAGTTTGACTTTAGCACCCGGAAAGAATAAATGAACAAACATCTTCATAAACTGTATCACATGACAAATTTCAGCCAACCAGTTAAGCATTAGTTTCTCCAATTGTCCAACGTACATTCATGGCGTCTGGTAAAACGCCCCAATCGTTTATTCTCTAAATAAGCCGCATCACTTAACCCATTACGTTAAGACTGAGCAAGAGTTTGCAGGTAATGAATGTTTGCAGATTTGTCTTGTAGTTTGGGAATGAATCCTTGTTGGTCTCGTTGCTTTTAATTATTATGCAAAATATTTTCTGTTTGTTTTTCTCCATCAATCTTTTCAAATGAGGATTGTCGTCTCACTGGAGTATATTTTTTCGTCTAAATATTCTGGGAATAATCTCACATGATTCGGCTAAAAAAAAATAGGATTATATTATGATTCCTGTTTTGGTCAAAATTTAGAGCATCAATTTGTTTATCACAGAATTCTTCTCTTACTTTCATTTTTAACCGAGGTGGCTTTTGTGGTTTATGTGAGTAAAAGCCAGCTATTTTGTTGGTTGGTGTTGTCAGTTTTGTTACAACAGGTCTGCGATCAGATCCAAAGTAGGAGCTACATGCTCTAGCATCTTTCTTGAATTGCCTAAGTCAAGAGTTCGAGATGCTGAAGTTTCGAATCTTTTTGGTTACTTTCTCTGAGGTTTCGTGGGGTGCTCAAGCCATTTGGCCTGAATAACAAAAATTAACAAGAGTTTCTCATTGATGTCTGAGGCTCCTGTTTCAGAGAGTGACGCTCTTTTCCCAGTGGCGTTCAAAAATACGAGAGGTAATATTAAAATTCCTATTAATGCAGTTTTGTCTTCCTAATACAAAAAACTAATCCCCTGTAGAAGTTCTCGTCTTCAGAAACATTTTTCTCAGTTCGGTTATAGGCTGATCTTGTTCGGATTTTACAGACACTAACAATTATATATTGGTATATGTCAGTCATGTTGTCCAATCCAATAGAAGTTTTATCCCAAATGTGCAATGGTGTCACTATGTGAATAAGGATATCAGTGTTTGCATTGTTCTAAAATGAAATGCACCCAAAAATGTTTTATTAGCCAAGCTTTATTTTTTAGCATAGCCTCACTTTACTTTATTTTTCTGGTTAACCTTCTACTTTTTATTTTTGTAAGCAAAGCTTTATTTTAATTCTCTTATTTTGTAAATTCCATGTCTGTTTATTCTTTTTATCTCACACGTCTGATTTAGTTAGTTTAAGCGAGCCAAGTTTTAATAACCCTCCCCGACTCTCATTTGTTTTGTGGCTCGTAACTAAATTTTCTTTTGGTTTGTATTTTACATGAGACTTGTTTTTGTTTATTTTGCTTGCCCACCTCTGACTCTATTCGATTTTTATTTTTAGTTTAAATATTCTTCTTTTATATTATTTTGTTTTGTGAATTGATGTAAATTTTGGGCGAAATTTAAAATAAATTGTGGTACCGTCGTGGTAAGTGCTTGCTTGGCATTACCATGGTAGAATTGACACAAACACTCCCGGTGAATGTTGAAGCTGTATTCCATAAAAAGACGACCTGGACGAAAAACAGACCGAAAAAAAAAAACGCGTCTTACTCCGCGGAATTACAGAAAAATATAAAGAATACGTTAAAGAAAACGAGTTTCTCACTATTTCCGAAGCGCTGGAAGCTGCGGATACAAGGACAATCTCCCTGCTGACGACCGACGTAAAAAGTCGGAAAATAATTGGGGTCAGCAGAGAAACGATAGCGGTGGCCCTGAAGAATTTGAAAATTGAGTGCAAAGTACAGGCCAGGAGGTCGAAAGCCACGTGGTACATCCTACTGGCTACAGAGCAAGAGGCCAGGTAGCTGACCGGAAGTATTTTAACAGTCAAGACTGTCAGGCTCTAAACATGGGCACCCGAAAGACGAAGGTGAGAGTACATGGGATACCAGTAGACATAACAGAGGACCGGATGGGGACCTTTTTCTCCCAATACAGACAAGTAGAGGAGGTCTCTGCCGTAATTAGTAAAGCGGGCATTGCTACCGGAGACTTTGTGCTCCAAGTAACACTGACGCGCAGGAGCATTGCAGACATCCCCAACATATTGATGTGTCGGGAGAAAAGGATGCTGCTGGTGGAAGGCCGCCGATCCTACTGCTGGTCTAAAAGGAGGTGGTAAAGAATGGACGAAAATCGACAACAGGCTCCTCGTCCCCCGACCCCCAGCAGGATGTTCCAACGAAACAACAACCACCACCTCAGAAGCGGCCAGAAGAGCAACCAAAAGTACAGTTTCAGTAACAAGAGCCCAAACAAGAACCAAAACAACAAAAGCAACATAAACAGCAACGGCCAGACACTGACATGCAGGTGGATGAAATGCTTCCACTCCGGACCTCCTCTTTAAAGAGGGGCAGGACGGAAGAAGAGGGGGAAGAGAAACCAACTAAAAAAGAGAAACGCACCGGACGAAATAGGGCGAAGAGGGACATGGACACAGCCATATATATAAGGTTGAACCTTAAACGATACGTGACTACCTGCCTCTAAGCAACAAACTGTGAGTACATAATAAAGTATTTACTTATACCAAGTCTCGTTAATTCCTATCTAAGCGAAAAGGAATGGAAAATTCTACCTCCAAACTCGAAAGTAGAAGATTCAAACCTAACGCTCCCAAATACAACAATCCCTTATTCTATCCATTTTTTTTTGTCCCTCCCACTCCACTTATAACGGCAAATATGACTACTCTTGTCTATTGACTGGCATTGAATGGTTCATGATAAATAAGTTAAATGAAAAACAAAAACTGGTTTAGGAACATTGCGTAGCACCAACCCTTCAAACAAGAAGAGTCCGTTCGCCTAGAAATTGGCATTCAAAATCTAGTTATTTGATTTCAAAATGTGACTACAGACGCTTTTCAGGAACATACAATTCTCTAACCCACCAATCTTAGGTTATTTTGTAAGTCACAGCATTCAGGCTCGCAATGAGGAATGAACTCACTAAACTAGCAAACATGTCTGCGAGAAAAGTATGCTAATCACCACGCTACGGTTCAGATTTCATTTGAATAGAATATAAAATATTAGAAATTTCGATATTTTTCACTTGATTTTTCGTTATATAAAACACTGGAATTTATGCATTGATACATTTTGTTTCTTTTTAATTCTAAAATTTCTCGTTTGATTAAAATTACCATGCGCCTAGTTTTCAAAACTTGACATGTGTCACTGACGGAATGAAAAACTTATTTTGCCTCTTGAAAAAAAAATTTTAAAAAATTATATTTTAATATTTCACTCCTAAAATGATTTTTCTATTATTCTTCTGTTGTTTTTATTATTTACATAGTTTGTTAGTCAATGAAAAAATCATACCGACCATCGGTTTCTTTAACTTACCTTTCCTGATTCGACATCGTTCACTAATGTGAGTAGGTCATACATGGCCAATTCTTTGATCCTGTCTTTGAAATAAGTGACCGTATGCCCACATTCCATCATTCCGCAGAGGGGATTGTCGGAAGAACATGGCACATACTGAAAATAAAATATTGTAGAATGTTATTCGAAGATTTTTGGTGTAAGAACAGGATTTATATAGCTTAAATTGGGCTGCTATAAGGTCGAGTGGAAGGAGGTGAGAAAGAATGTTTACCATCAATTTTTCAAGAGAAGAATGTTTGTCTACATTTAAAATTCATCATCTGAAAAATGAATTCCAGAAATATGCGTGTATACAATCAAAAGTAGATGCAAAATAAGAAAGAATAAGATTGAATACTTCGATTATCTATTTTATCTTCTCCAGTTTGAATGAATCGAGATAAAGCCATAAATGATCAATAGAAAAGCATAACGAATGGATTTTTTATTGGAAATAAATTTTTAAAAATTCAGGCAAAATACAGTTAAACAACGAGGAAATTTTTATGGATTTTCTGAAGTCAAGTTAGCCTCGTGTGGGGTGACTACTGGTGTGAGTGAGTAGATCCTCAAATGGGGTGATAGCGGTCGATGAACAAAGTCAAATGTAGAAAAACCGGGTTTCATATTATAGAACGAGGAAGAATGAGAGGTTTGCTTGCTTTTAATGATTATTGGAATTAAATCTGGAAAAAGAAATAAGTTAATTTGTTTCGACAAACTAGATTGGATAAAAGGTTCAAACTCGAATATTGAAGATAATTTTAGTATTATCCTGTATCTTCCACCCACTACAAATGATGACAAGTAATAAATTATAACCGCAACTAAAATGAAATTACCTTTAAAAAAATCCTTGAGATTCAGTTGTTTACATAAATCGAATTGGCGTGCTTTCTTAACAGAATAATTTCGAAGCAAAGGACTTTAAAAATGGGCCGTGTGGTTTGTTTACATAAAGACATATTGGCCAGTGGTCTTACATGAAGAATAATTATCAAAAACAGATTATCAGAAATTTGTTTAAGAGGAAGAACTTGGTTGGGAAACGAAAGAGACACTTCTTCTACTACGTGCTGTGTTCCTTCAGGACGTGGTCGATCATAGTTCTCTATAATACCCTTTCCTTGTAGCTCTTAGTAAATTTTGTCTTTTTGTTATCTCTCCTAATTCCTGTTCTGCTAATCATTTACACAAGATCGTTAGGCAGGGGTTATGCGCTTCTTTCTCCGGCACCACTTGCCTTCAATCTCTCCTGTGAGTGTCAAATTTTCTAAGCCCTCTTTCCTCATTATGTTCCCTAGAAATTTCAGCTGTCTTTTTCTGATTCAAAGTATAAGGCTCCTTTTTGTTTCCATTTTCCCTAAAACATTGTCGTTGATCACATATTCAATCCATGGTATTCTTAGCATCCTTCTGTTGAACTAAATTCCTGTTGCTTCAAATCTCTTCTTCATCTGTGATGAGATCGTTCAGCATTCACTGCCATATAGCAGGACCGCATAAATCAGTACTCTTTCTTTGTTTTTAAGACAATTTTCCTCTTTCTTAATACTTTGCTTAGCTTTTGGAAGGCATCTTTCGCTATTCCAATATATTTTCGAATTTCGGTGTCACATTTTCTGTCCTCTGTTAAAACACTTCCTAGATATTTAAATTTCTGTACTTGCTTGATTTTGACATTCATAGTTCGTATCACGAGCTGTTACTTTTGCTGTCAACAATACATTCTTTTTTCTTAAAATTGATGGTTAGTCCTATCTTCTCGCTTTACTACCTCTGCAAGAGTTCCTGTAGTTTCCCTTCTGTGTCTGTTATCAATACTGTGTCATCTGCATATCTTTATTGTTAAGATTTTGGTCACCAATAATGAAGCCTGGTAGGACTTCTAATTCTGTCATGATCGCTTCACTGTAATGTTGAACAAGTCCGATGAGTAAACACATCTCTGTCGTACGCCCCTTTCTATTTTTGTGGAGCTCATTAATTCCTTTTCTCTCTGTGTGCAACCGATTTGTTCTCAGTATAAGTGGAGGATTTTTCTAACATTCTTGCGAAATATACTTATCAAACGCTTTTACACAATCTATAAAATAAAGATATGTATCTTTTAAATTTCGTTCTGATATCATTCTGAGTATAAATATCACATTCTTGTCCTAGTGTATTTAATAAAACCGCAATGTTCTTGTCCTATTTTTGGTCTATTCATTAGAATTCGAGTGATAAGTTTTGTTATGTGGCTCAGGCTGATTGTCCAATGATGTTCACATTCGTTTGCACCTGTCTTCGTTGCATATTTCACTAGCAGGCTTCGCCCGCTCGCTATCGCTTCGCAAAGATATATTCACTACTTGAAACCTTTGAAACAAAAATTTTGAATGAATATAAATTTTCATGAATTGGCTTGTTATAGTTAAGGAAAGTTTTACAAATAGATGCTAACTTGTTGAAGGCTAAGTAAAATGGAAATTTCAAACACTTTTCTGCACTATATAAAACGATATTCCTAAACAGAATTATTTTTGATATGAAAAAAAAAAAAATCCTCGAATAAAAGAACAATAATGAAGGACTTTTATTAATGAAATAAACTATTTTTTAAAATCAATATACAAATTAGTTAAACCTGAAGAGTGATACTGCCTAGAAGTATATAATATATAATACAGATGTTGAGCATTTAGCGTATAAATTGATCTCTCGAGTGGTTTGTAACATTATTTATCATCTCTCCGTTGCGTCTCTGTCTTTGGGCAGAATGCACTCAGGGGCGACTCCGTCAAAGGACAGAGTCGCAACCGAGGAAAATTATACTGAGAGGTGTCCAGCCCTGGGAAACAGCTGCCCGAGGCCGCGCCCTCTCATTGCACCAGAGAGAGTGATTGGTGCTCGAACCGAGGCGTGCGTAACCGACGGTTGCGGGGGCTGCGGGCAAATTTTTCTTCCAGGCCCGGGTGTATACGCTCGGACTCCCCACATTAAACCAACCTCGTGTCACTACATGACATCGTGGGGGTTGAGTAAATACAAATTACTCTCGAGTAGCTTGTGACACGTTTATTTATGATCTCTCAGTTGCATCTCTGTCTTTGGGTAGAGTGCGTTCAGGGGTGGCTCCATCAAAGGAGAGAATCACAACTGAGGAAAAATATACTGAGAGGTGCCCAGCCCTGAGGAACAGCTGCCCGAGGCCGCACCCTTTCATTTTATCAATACTTACTATAAAGTAGATCTGGGGATTTTTAATCTCAGAATTAGTGGGAGAAATGAGTTCCAATTTCTCATTTATTCATATAGATTCCATAATTGGTTTTACTTAATTAGCTATTATGTTTCTCTTCAAATGTTGAATGTATAACTAATTCAAATTTCTATATTCCCATCTTTACACAATATTAATTTTATCTTATAAATTTTCCCCTGTTCTGTCACCCATAAAATAAAAATAATTGTTTGTACTGAAAATTAGGATCTACGTACATCAAATCGTCTTTAAACTAAGTGGCAACAGAAGAATTATCGTTGAACTTTTAAATGGTAAACTTAAACATTAATTCAATACTTAAATACAGCGATCAATTTTGAGTTCTGTAGTTTATTGATGCTTGTCGCATCTACTCCTCCCTAGCTATTGTGATGATGGCCAAACCAAGAGTCCTCCACAGGAGTTAGATTAAATGAGAGAATTATAGAAATTTGGATGCACATAAAAGCAATAAAAGTAACAGCATTGATATTTTTAAGCTGAAATCGAAAAAAATATTGAAGCTCTGAAGTAACACAATTCTAACAGTATTGGGGAAAAATTGATTGAAAGTTTTTATAATAATAAAAAGAACAAGAAGAAGAAGGAGTTAATGTTAAGAAGGTGTTAATGAAGATAGTGGATTACCTGTTTCCAGATGTTTGTACGAAATCCTCGGAGAACTAGGTATTTTGCCAGTTCAACTTGGTTACTGTCCAAACATTCAAACAGCGCTCGGCTACTATAACGACTGACTCCTTCCACCTCTTCCAGACCCTGAACTTGTTCTTTTACAACTTCCATTTTCCCGTCCTTAAAGGAAAGAACATAAATAATTTTTAATTAACTTCCTACTTTTCAACGTCAACAATTTTATGATTTGTTTTAATTAATCACCCCAAGCAAGGTGATTATACCACTAAGATGCAATGGGCTACTGGGATAGAAATAGAATGAAAAAGACTTTAGAAGGAACTGGAAATCCGGTCCTAAACATGAGACAAGGGATAAACCTCTACTCCTGTTAAAAAAATCGGGGAGGAGAGTGAACGAGACGATAGGCGAACCTATCTACTCTTATTTAAGTCATTGTAGATTGCTTTAATAAAGCCTAAATCGGAAAAGGGAAAATTTGGACTAATAAAATTTCATTTAAAAAAGCCCATTGTAAATTTCATCTCCTTCCTGTTGATTTTATTTCCTTTCATGTTTTCTATCAAATAAATATTTTAAAATTGTGAGACATTTTGCAGATCCCAGTAGTGAACAAGACTTAACGATTTAATCAATTTGACTATTTACTTTTAAAAAAATTGTTTCTACAAATATTTCGCGTCAATTATTTTTGTGTCTTTACACATGATCAGATCTTGAAATAAGGAATGATTAAATCGTTTAACAACTTTCTTGAAATTGCCTATAAAATTGTTAAGGGGTACTGCTGCCGGTGAATACCCGGGTGTGATACAGTAAGAGGGTGAGAGAGTGAGAGTGAGAGTGTGAGGTAACCGTTTTGTAGGAGTCACAGTTGCGAGCACGTAGACTCAGAAGGAAGTCATACTTCGATACTGAATTTCCCAGACTGTATATATATATTATTATTGCTACTAACCGCATTTCTGGATCTACTAACCATATTACCAATTGTATTATTACGTCAATACATTTATTTGCTATATTTCATTCCTGCGTTTGTCATTCATTTGAGACCGGATTTCATCCCGGAATCCACAACAAAAATATTACAGAAATTTATACATTTATTCCTTCTAAATTTTCATGATGTCAAATATCTACCAAAAGAATTGAGCAAATATGAAACTCATCCTGATTCTGAAATTCTCTTTGTTCAAAACTGAAGATATTTTCTGCATTTTCAGAATGATTAGAAGAATTTTGATATAATTGTCGCATATTGATAAACCATTTGCGTCTACATCAGCTAATTCTTTTTCTATATTAACAACGCAATGAATTGTCGTTCATATTCATCTTCTCACTAAGGCAATAGCAATATTTTATACATATAATAGACGTATGTTATCAGGTTTAACTCTTTACTTACTTTAATGGCAGCAAAGAATACTTCCTCAAAATCTGTTTCTTCTAAGAATACTTCCAGGTCAAATTCTTCGATGGCTTTTTTGATACACGCAAGGTGAATGGCACAGGAACAGTTACTGTAATCTTCTGGGGTCTTCCCTCTCTGTAACCCAAAAATTAAAGCATTGTCATTTTTATTAAAAATATATAGAATAACATAAAATTAAATATACTATTATTGACTATTTACAAAATAAAATATACTATTGACTATTTACATTTGAATCAGTATGTGAATAATAATACTTTTCTCTTTAGAAACACGGCATAAGTGCAAAGATTATATTGTAGTGTAATGTTCCTCATTACTCAGTGTGAGAACCAATATTTTAGTAAACGGTTACGCAGTAATTGAATGGTATTTTTGACTTATGAAACGAAGAATTAAAATCATGCCACAATTCTAATAAACATGCATCACTCTCGATACCTGATGAGTGAAGTATTATTAAAGAAACTACGAAGAATCACTTACGTTGAGTGATAATTGGATTTTCAATCTTATTGAAAACTTTAAATTCAGAAGAACAGAGCACATTTCCTTACTCTGAGGATTATAAGAATTGAAATCACTGATTGACATATTGTAACAGTACTAAACATACATTGTTACACAAAAGCTTTCACGTAGCACAGGAGACTAGTGCATTTTATTGGTATCTGTCTCTATCTCAGTCTATTAATATCTACCATTTTCTTTCATCTTTCTCTAGCAAATTTTAAATTTTCTCCTTTTCTCTCCTTTCCTCGCTTTTTCCCTCTCTTTCCTTATTCCCGTCCTTCTTTTTTCTTTTTTATTTCATCTTCTTTCTCGCTTTTCACTCTCATTCTTATTTTTACTTTTAGTTTTCTTACAAATAATTTTGTTCGACAATCTTTCAATTTGAAAAACAACGTCAATCTTGTTCGAATTTACTTACATTTTTGTTGATTAAAAAACTCAAACGATTGAAATTTCTACTTACATTGTCTCTGCAGTTGTAATTGGCGTCATGTAATTTTGCTTGAGCTTGAATATCAAGATCATCTTCATACTTCACATAAATATAATGAAGCGGTGATCGACCCGACTGAAATGAAACATAATAAAATGTCTTTATTGAAAGTATTTTCAAAAAGTATTCTCTTAATAGGGATCCACATTATAGTCTTGAGAGTACAAGACTCTCATCATGCTGAGGCGGGTAACGAATTCATTCATAACTTCGCTGCCACAGACGATACGTGCAAGTCTTATGTCATTTTTTATTGTTCGTGTAATCTGTTTTCAAATATTAATCTTATTACTTTTTCGTTTGAAATAAAAATATTGCTTTTAGAATTTAGCATGTGAATGTTCAAATTTCAAGTTAAACGATGACCATGTAAAATTCTTTCGTCGAAATGGTTGATAGTTTTAGTTTGTCTTAAAAAAGGAAAAGAAAAACTAAATAGAAAAGTAACAGAAAAGTTTAAATTTTGGATGGGGTATCTAGTTTTATGGTCGAAATCTTTACAGAATTATCTTTTCTTTTTGTCAGTATGTCGTACATATGAAGAGAAAACAGTTTCTGAATTATAAGCGGTCTTGATAGTTTTTATTTTGTGTCTATTAATTGAGCACAGACGAAAAGTAATGCAGATTTCTGGTTAGAAAGTTAAAGACCGGAAGTTGCTTTCATTTTCGCTCACAAATTCGTATATATAACTATTCGTATTTACACATAGCGGAGAACATGATTAAGGACTGTTTGTATGCCATCCCGTGCAGCTCTGGCAAGAAATATAAAAGAGAAACAGGCCGCCCCCTTAAGATAAGATCGCAAGACCAACGTAAAACAGTAACACAGGGGAAAAGGGTTAGAAAAAAATCAGGCACGACTAACGATACATGAAAAGGAAAGTGAGATCACCGCCCTCTATGGGATGATGTTGAAATAGTGGACAGTGAACATGATTGGAAAATACGATAACTTAAGGAATCAGTGCATATGCTAGGCTATAAAAATAACCTAAGCCGGCCAAACATAGACAGGAATGCATCATGGGAACAAGTAATACAGATAGCTAAAGAAAAAATAACAATAGCAAATAAATGAAATATGTACTATAAAAGACGGTTACAGAGAAATCCGGTCTATAAACCCCAAAGAGTCATTCAGTGATGTCGCCAAGAACACATCACCCAGTAGATAAAAGCGTTGGTTGATTGATACAAAAGTAACTTGACCCAGAGAGTTGTGGGTTGAGTTGTCAAAGGGAATTAACTGAAACTATCCAAATGAACCCCCGGACTAAATAAAGGGTTCGTTTCAAATTCCAACAAATGTAATCTGAAGAAGGCTGGAGCATACAACGAGCCGAAAGCTCATGAATATGGCAATAAAGATGACAATTATCCGAACAATGTAGATAGTGTAAGTAGATACAATACCTCATCTCATAAATAGAGACATATCATTATTCGTTAATCAGAAAAATATATTGTATGTTTTTAACCGAAGTTTACTAGAGGGTTTAACTATTTTAATTAGAGATTGGTTTAAAAATGAAAATGGATTCGATAAACAACTTCGTAAGATTTGATTAGCAAATTAAAATATCAATATTAGCATTAATATTGCATTAATATATTTTTTCAATGCGAAAAAGGGAGAAACGGTTTTTGCTTTCTAAAAAATTTAAATTTTTATCCTTGCATGCAAATGATGAGAGTGAAATGATTTTTTTGTTAATTAATTATTTCTTAACGACAAACATCTTTATCAGTGTTGTTCCTACCTTTGCATTTTTTTTAAAATACTTATTATTTATATAAATTTAAATTATTATGAAATTAGTTGAAATAATTAATTTTAAATTAAAGGTAATAATTCATTAAATATTTTGTATTTTGTTCCTGAAATAGAATATTTAGGGCTATTTACTGTAATTTTAATTTGGTTTATACTTTAAAAAATAAATTTATCTTGTTTTTCTCATTTCTGCTAAAGATTACATAAAAATATCTAAATTAAGTTTTCCTTATTTGTTGATAATTAGTGATTTTGTCTCGAAATTTCATTCATCGTTTTATCAAGAGATCCATTAAAAATATTTGCTTTTAAAATTCCATTAATCGCAAGTGTTCTGTCCGGTATTTATATTGTCTGTGTTGTAACCTAGAAAGGGTAACTGAATGAGGAATAACCAAAAAAACACTGCTGTTGGTGGACTACTTAGACAGCATATTACCCCCACTTACAATAATGTCCAGCGCATTTATGAGGATTGGGACATACCCATTAGTGTTCATATGTACGGTATATAACATTATGAATGCTTGAATTGGCACTTTTTTATTCTAGAAATGAACATTATGCAAGCAACAAATCAGGATTATACTCACATTATCGGCTTCGTTTAATAAAGACGGATAAGAGCTAATGAGGTAATGAACTATTCCAGTTTGTTGGTACAAAATAGCGACGTGAAGGACGTTCCGTCCACATTTGTCTCGGAGAGCGATGAAATTTTGGCACATCATATGTTTCACTTGATAACTGTCACCATTCTTGATTGCCTTAAACAACAACTTGCCCGTTTCCTGGAAAATCGAATAATTCTCATTAACAGATATTTAGAAAGACTACAAGATGATTTTGCAGGAAGTTACCATTATTAAATTTCATCCGGAAGTTTTCACTCCAACGTCTGGAAACATACTAACAATATCAACAGAATCCTCACAAGTACGGTTTCACATATATCAAAATTCAAACCTAACTTGGCACTAATTGTGTCCAAATTTCTTTTCTAGCCAATGAGAAACCTTTAAAAAAATAAAAATTGAAGTTTCAAGAACATATATGAATATTAATGGACTCTATAAGCCTTACTTTTTGAAGGCTAATTATCAGTTCTCCAGTCAGCAACGAAGTCCATGCCATGACAGAATCAACTCGTCTTCTCTGTGCCTGAATAATTATTCAACCTTGATATCAAAGTTATTGCCAAACACTGAAGTTAAAAAAGTAAAAAATCTTAACTTAAATATTAGATACGCATACACGCGCGCGCACACACGCATACACACACACAATTTCCAAATTTTTTACTACAAAAGTTGTCACGTTGCAATGTACTAGATGGGATTTTCCTCAGAAAAAGTACATTTATTACAAAAACAAAAAGAAAGGACATTATTGAAAGAACTTAATTTGTGTCTAGTTCAGTTGCAACAAATTTAGTATTGGAGATAAGGAAGCTGATCTTAGGATTGATTGGGTTAGGGGCACTTTTGTCCAGCGCCGTAAGATACTACAAAACAAAAATGTTGACCTGCAAACTCGAGTCATGTTCTTCAATAGCCTCGTCAGATTTAGACCTTTATGTAAATGTCAATCATGGCGTCTAATTCATTCAAAGATGTTTAGGGTTTATATATATACGGAAAAAACGGTTGTATACAGATGATAGTTTATCATCTGTATACAACCGTTTTTTCCGTATATATATATACTAAAGATCTGAGAATGTTCTTAGGCAAAAAAGTTAATGTAAAACAGAAAGAGAATCGAGAAAAGGGTATCGGGGACGTCAGTATTGTTCTCAGGTGCTTCATGTACATACCTCATAGAAAGTAATTGATAAAGGTCTTCGAGATATCTCAGGTAATTGCTCTCGTGATTAATTTATTATCAAGTATTTCACCAATTCTTTACGTACTGACGGTTAAGATAATAGTAGTCGAAGTAGAGGAGTGAAAACCATACTGTTTTCTCTCAGGGGGTTCTTTCTGTTACGGTGAATAACTGGGTAGTCAATACTAATAGTATTATAGATAGTTCTGGGTTAGGGTTCTTAAAAATCACAAGGATTTTATCCGGACCAATAGCCTTTTGATATGTGAAAATTTCCCGAGCCAAGTTTCTGCTCATAGTAGTAAGTCAGGTAGAGGATGGCCTTTGTAGGTGTTAGAGACATAGTTCAGAGCGAAATGCTTAGCCTGACAAGGATGAGATAACTTTAGGAACATTGCCTGAGCATAGCTGTTCTTTGCATTTCCAAGAACTCTCTTACACTGGCTGTGGGCAGTTCTGAATGAGGCAAGAGTTCTGCTACACTATTCCCTCTGATAGAGGTGGTAGTAGTAGTTACGGTGAGATGCGGCTGAAACCCTTTGAGATGTGTAGGAATGCTGACAATTTGGCCTTTGTTCGTACTTTTGTGGAAGATAAAACTTTCCATGTTGGAAAGAATCCGTTTGGAAATGAGGTAAACTATTCTGGAAGCTCTATTCTTGAAGAGCGGTGCTTCTGCAATGTAAGATCTGAAGCTATCCCAATCAGCTTTTGTGTATAGGTAGATTGTTGTATGAAATGGTACATCAGAAGATGTTTTTTTTGTTTGGCATCAACATAGATCAAAAATGGTTTGAAGTGGCCAAGTGGGCGGGGAGTAATACTTCATTATTAGTTAGGGCATGAGGTGAGGAAGATGTCTAAAAGGTTAGCATAATGCCAAACTATATCGGGAATACGAGTAGGCTTAATTACAATTCGCGTCAGTTCGTAAGTAATGGCAAAGTCATAGGAGTTTTTCCCATCTTCATCGGTTATGTTTGAGTGGAATAAACACTCCTGGTGAATATTGAAATTATCACAAATGTGAATGGTAATTGATGAATGATCAGATAGAATATCATCAACAGTTATTTTGTCGGAAATTGCAATACCATCATCCTGAAGATGATAGACAGTGAAGACAAAGGTCACCATGAATGGGAGCCAACCAAAAAGCACATGAATGGGAAGCCAAGTTTCTTGTTTTATGAATATCTACCACAAGTGAGTGTGTACCTTACTCTTTTTGAGTAAGTTCACGTTTACTTATCATCTCTCAGTTGCGTCTCTGTCTTTGGGCAGAGTGCGCCCAGGGGCTTTTCTGTCGACAGAGGGGCAACTGAGGAAAATAATACTGAGAGGTACCCAGCCCTGGGGAACAGCTGCTTGAGGCCGCGCCCTCCAATTGCACCAGAGGGTAGGATCGGTGCTCGCACCGACGCCAGCGCAAACGACGGTTACGGGGGCTGAGGGCAATTTTTGTTCCTGTCCTGGGTGTACATGCTCGGGTCCCCACCTATAGATCTTGTGTCACATCTCGTCCTAGTTGGGGGACGGAATAAATACCGTGAGTATCTACCACAAGGGAAATCATGGCTATGAAATTCTATGGCTATGTCGATTTAATTGGTTTTCTTTTTTGAATAACACAGGATTGTGAATTCTTGACCTAGTTTGAGTCCAGTTTCAGATTAGATGTATTTCACCTTCTGAATAGTTGAAATGTAAACTCCTTATGGCAGTGAAGGAGATGGAAAAATCGGGGTCTCTTTTTTATATGGATGGTCTGAGTTTAGCTATACTGTGTGGGTTTTCCTTGCTCATATTTTGGTATGGGAAAGGAAGGAGCCGAGGTAGAAAGACAGAAACACCCCAAGTGTTATATGTAAAACCCTACCTGGATTAATCGTCTGAAAGCACAGCTGTAGTTGTACACAATATCATGGCATGGAGAGGCCACACCGGAAACTACTGGACGGTCCAAATCTCATTCACAAATTGAAATACCATAACTCCATATGCACCTGCTGATAGGATCTTAGTTGAATCTCTGACTATCAGATGGATAACCACAGACCATAAAAGCGTTTACCTTCAACACCCTTGATGACGATATAAACAATCCAGAATTGGAAAGAAATTACAGGTATATCACCTGAAGTGAAACCCTGATGTTGACCAGCAACGCAATTGCCTACTAAAAACTACGTTACACATTCTGAGGCTAAAAGTTACCCATTAGCATAATCTCTGACCCCAGAACATTTACTCACTCAATCGTTCACACAGTAGCTTTTGTTCATTCCTGCAAGTGAATTAACATCTAATTACTTAACTTCGCCAGTGACAAAATCGGCCTGCAGAGAAAAACACTAACTCACCAACTCGCACAGCGATCATAATTCATCCTCGCCAGTGAGTTCATTTAAACTTTTTCACGATCAAACACTAGATAATGGAACTCAACATTTTAACAATCAAAGAGACAACTTCTGAATGAACTGTGAATTGAAAAAAAATATTAAACACTTAAAATTCAGCTTCCAAGAAACTGTTTAATTTTAACTTAGACAATGTAATATTCATTTACTTTCATCCAACAATTTATTCAACGCACATTCTTTCCACAAAACTTTCATTAATATTTCAAGCAAACTAGGAAATGACGTTGAACTAGATTTAAACTTCAACGTAACAACAACGTACACAATCTAAATGCAATAGTAATTTCAATACAACACATTAACACAACTTGTATCACTTTTGTCACTGATAAAAAAAAAATCTATTTTTGTTATTGCATTGATTTGTCGAATTTGTTATTACTCTTGTTGTTTATTGTTTCTTGGCACATTTGTTGAAAGTAAAAATAGTAGAGATTGAATTAAGGCCATTCGATCCCCTACAGCTTGATTTACTTACCAATTTCTGACGAAATGACCAAACATAAGATTTTCTTTTTCCATTTTTTAAAAGGGATTCATGATTTTTATGTGTCGATATGAAAGTCGATTCTGAGCCTAATAAGCAGCGTTTCTTAACAATTTGGTGAAGAGACAATTAGAGTCTAAAAGAGAAAATTTAAATTTCATACTTATTCTGTTCTGTTTTTGTTTTGTTTTTTAAGGCATAAAATATAAATTATTTATAACTAATAACATCTATATACAAAACATGGTAAGATTATTTACATGAGGATTGCCGCCTAACGCGTAATAGCGTCTCTGTACAGCGCTCTACTTAAGATCAAAATGTGACCCCTCAGTGATTCTCCTTAATCTGTTTTCACTCACTTTCTCTTCTAGTCATGAGGGACATCTAGTCCCGGCGTTTCCAACCCTGCAGCAGCACCTTCATCATTTTATTATGGAAGGTGAGTGAATACCAGCGTAACGGTGATAACTGGGAAATTTTTGTCTTTACCCCATGTGTACACGCATGAGAAACTTACATTAAACCGACCTTGTGTCTCATCCTACCACTGCGAGATGAGTTAGTAGCAGTTCAGAGTGTAAGACCTACACTGTATGAAAAGTGTTACACAGACATATAAATCCACATTGCGTTATTTACTTATGTGTAGATATTCATTTTGCCTGAACCAAGTAAACTCACAAAATAATTAATTAATTTAAAATGGGGAATTGCAACTTATTGTTTATAATTCATTTACTCGAGTAAAAATTTAAAAAACTTGATTGTTATGATTTGTGATGACGTAATACAAAATTAATTATAAAAGATTTTTATCATCATTCATTAAAGCTTAAGTTTTTAGTACATGCAATAAAATCTAAATCAGATTGAAAAATGTTGAATTAAAATTAACTGTAACTTTATAATTTGTTAACAGTTAAAAAAAATTAAAAATTGTTACAAAAAAGAAATTGTCCACTTGATGTAAGGGAGATAACTAAGTTAAATACTGAACATTTTTGCATTCTCTTATAACACTACAGGTTTTTTACACTCTCTCGACGTGGTGTAATGGTTAGAAAGCTTGAGTAGTGAGTTCGATCCTCACTGGGTGCCCCATACTTTCGGCCATGTGCCACATCTAAGCCGGGCTTAGAAAATCACTATAACACACAAATTGTTTTTTTTTTTTTTAACGTTACGGGCATTATGGATATTCTGGAAACTGATCGTTTGATCCTTTTTTCTATACGGAGAAAATTATGAGTAGGCATTTTAAAATTTTCTGAACCGGACATTCTTTCTATTACTCATGTCACAGGTACTTTCTTAATTTTGAAAGATATTTTGTTTTCTAAAAGCTATGCAACAGTTAATGTTGCTGTCATTAAATATAGAATATTCATAGGTTTACTTTAGGGTTTGTACATTTTAAATGATATGCAAAGAAAATATTGAAATTTAAAAGAGACAATAATTCTACAAAAAGCGAATGACAATTAGAAAATCTACATGACAATCGCAAAACTATTAAAAATAAATATTGAGAGAATTTTGGTTTGTTTTTAACCCACGATTAATAATTTAATATTCTCGTTTTTCTTGATTTCGATTAATACTGTTAGAAACCCAATAAAGAAGCCCGAAAAGAGTGTTCAAGTTCCAAAACAAACAATATATTTCAGGTTCACCAATAGACATATTTACCTGCGTCACTTTGCACATGTTGAGCAAACTGGCAACTTCTCTGTTTCCCATTTCTCTAGCAATATCAAGGGCTGACCGGCCATTAGCATCGGTAATATCCAGCAGGTGGTCATATGACCGGAGAATTAAGTCTTCGATTTGAGCTGCTGAATTTGAGATAACCATTTGAAGAACATGTTGGTCTATAAGTCGGGCATAAGTGGGTTTGTTTTGCTTTAATGCAAAAGTTCTTGCGGTGCGGCCAACATTATCACGTAATGCTATATTGAGTCCGTAGGTAAATAAACTTTGTACAAATTCAAGCGACTTGCTATGTTTAATGGCTTCGAAGATTATGGTTTGCCCTTGTCGATTTCGCGATAACATATTGCATTCTTTCAATACTCTGTGGATGATTCTTTCGTCCTCAGGGATATTCTCACCACAAATCAACTGAAAAAGTAATCAAGACACACACACACACATATATATATATATATATATATATATATATATATATATATATATATATATATGACAACATTAATTCTCAGAAGCAGAATGATTTAAGGAAACCATCGTAATCATAGAACCACAAGGATAGACTACCGCAAAGCATTTGGTAATGGCCCTCATCCTATGGCTTTTCAAATAACTTACTTTCCTAAAAAAACGCCGCTTGGGGGCGTTTCCTAAACCTTTGAATAGGCAGTGTCATCCTCTCTTTTCTATTTTCCTCTTGTATTTCATTTTTTACATAAATAATTAATTTTAATGCTTAAATAATAAAGTAAATACTTGATCGTCATTTCGTTTTCCTATCTGATTTAGTGGTATCGTAAGTACTATTTGGGTATTAATTGTAGGTGGTTATGTTTATAATTATATATTTTTTTTACTTATTATTGTTTAAATTTGTATGCATACGCTTATATTCATACGTTTACGCACACGCATACATACATGTACATGCATATACATATGTAGATATACACACACACACACACACACACACACACACACACACACACATATATATATATATATATATATATATATATATAAAGGTGACTGAATTTTGTAACTCCTATTTTATGTATAGTGACCTCTCCCGTTTTGTAAAATTATAGTTAGACGGAGAGTCCATCATAAATAAAATAGGATGCTACTTTTTAACCACCCTGTATATATATATATATATATATATATATATATATATATATATATATAACGTACATGCTGAATTAATTTATATTCAAAGATTTCAAGTTCAACTCGTTATAACTGGTAATTGCATTCGTTACAAAACTTTACTGACTTACCAAGAAAACCTGTCAAAAAGTAAAGAACAAAACCAAACAGAAAGACATCAAAATGCTACTTGATCAATAGCAAACACCACAAAAAGCTCAATAACAGTGTCAGAGCAGATGATGTAGACTAAAAGACAAATATTTTCGAGACTCGGGTCTAAAAGCTGAAACAGTACGTTTCATAATGTCAACACATAACGAAACAAATATCAAGAAAGCATACAAAAAAAAACGAAACAAATGTCAAGAAAGCATACAAAAAAAAACGAAACAAATATCAAGCCAGCAAAGGGTGCCGACTGTCTTGTCTATCAATGATAAGATTGAAAGTATCAATCACAGAGTAGTAAGATTTTTTTTTCATTGCTATAATATAAATTGAGACATGACAGAATTGTACAATATCTACACTGCGTTATCTGCAAACACCATGGACCATTTACAAAGACGAAAGGTATTAAGATCCTGTGGAAAGTTTCAACACACACTGAAAGAAAGATAAATGTCAACAGGTTAGACCTTACAATGAAATATTTTAAGGATAAAACGTATCGATATGTCTGTTCCTGCTGATCGCAGCATTGTTCTGAAAGGATTTGAAAACGATTTCCATATATAAAAATGTTGAAGACGAAAATGAAAATAATATGACACTGGAAAACAAAACCACCCGAGAAGTGGGACTCCGTAAAAAGAAGGGCAGTGAATTTGTCAACGTCATATCTGAACAACATAACATATTCGAAGTACGTAAGATTGCTGTCACACAGCCCGCACCTTAAGAAAATTTTGTCATTATAATATAAATAATTTGATATCTATCATTATATAAAGAAAATGAAATCAAATAATAATCATAAATTCTAATTGCCTCGGAAGTTTCAATGACGCAGAATGAATTGAAGGAAAATCAAAAAGTAGAACAATGGAAACAACGAAAACTAGGCTCAATGGCAGAAACATAATCAAAAGAATAAATATCCGGATAATATTGATTCATGACTCTTCCTAAATTGGACAAAGGAAAGTACAAGAAATTGGGATCTTAAAACGAGGAAATTTCTGATAACGCATAAAGCTTTGGGTCTTTGGGGTGATGCCGAGAAACTGTGTAAGAAAAGGGTATCATAAAAGATTGTGTCAACCCTCTTATCAAAGTACACTAGGACTACACGATGTAATGAAATATGGTTTGAGTACAAAAGGAAGATTTTATAAGCAAACCTAAAGTGAAAAGTCCAAAATGAAAAGGATACCAAGTGAGCTTACATAAATATAGTTCAAAAATGGAATTTGAAGTGAGATTTTATTAAAGACGAAAAGAACATTTCATAAGAGCGATATAGTCAAGAATCCGTAAAATAATTTATGCATATTTTATGGCGATAGACATGATAACGCAATTATATATTTAGCGAATACACACGCTGACTCGGAATGATTTAAAAATAATAAGTATGTGTGGGTGGGGAAGGTGGTCTACTGGGAACTGAGCAAACGGTTATATAGTGACCATGTAAAGCAATTATATATGCACAAGTACAAATCCGTCTTAGAGAATTAAAAACATACAAATTTCGCTGGGACTTTGAATTTCAAACAACTTATTCAATCTCGGCAAGAAGAGTAAATCTTTGTGAATAAAGAAAAAATAAAAGATCAGAAAGTGAAATTAAACGAAAATGAGAAACTGAGAAAATATCTACAAATTTGCTACAAAACTGAAAAAAGTGAAGCATGTATATAAAGAGAAGGCATGCCTGAAACAGTTACAAAGATATTTGCGAAGAGACTGGAATAAATAGAATTCAAAGGTAGAACTAAAACCATCCAGATTCTAAAATTACGAAAATTAACGGAAAATAATAATATATATTGAAGATAATTGTTGTCACTTTAAACTAAACCAGTACAAATAGTACCATATAGTAGCAAGACAAATTACAAATATATCGATATATATATATTTGATATTTAAAACAAAATGTTATTAGAATATGTGATATAGATAACGGTTGACGCTAGACTTGAAGAGGTTAAGATTGGAATAGTCGGGGAAGCATCCTCTCAGGAATGTATTTCACAAATTAGCGGCCTTTGGGAAGCTTTCCGAATGAAACCTCCATTGTGCCAATGGAACAGGAAGTTGGAGAATAGGGTTCGCCCCTGTTTACATAATATGGCTGGTTTTGCTATAAAGTTCTGAACTGGCGGAACTAAGGAACGTAGCTCTTCTTATCATTTTTCATGGAAATAGCGATAGAGTAGCGAGATGTTGCGACGTTGCGTGTGTAAGAAAGGGTTGTAGAGTGGAAAATAATTAATCGCCCACGAGTCCGCGTAAACGCTTTTTAACTTTGTCAAGGCTGGAAATAGAAGATCGGGCAATTCCAGGCCAGATTTGATAGCAATACTTCATTTTTTTATCTGATTTGAATCTTGTAAAGATGGAGCATTGCAGATAGAGTCAGGTACATTTTGAAACAGTATAAGAAGCTGACCATGTATCCATCGTCTTTCGAGGTGGATTGTATATATGAGTTCCATTTGAAGTTTGGGATGAGCTTGAATCCCAACAGGCGCTCAAAGCAAGGGAATTAATTGAGAGTGCAACCATTCATCGAGACTGGTGAGAATTCAGAGTCAGTTCAGTGATGATGTAAAGTTACTAGCTTGTTTTTTCTGGTATTGAAATTTACAAACGAATCTTTTCCGCCATTGGGCTGTTAGAACGAGGTTAGTTGAGAGATCAGCTGCCGTTTTTAATCGTGTAGATGCTAATAATTAAATATGTATAAATTTTGTCGAGATTCCTCTTAACACACACACACACGCGCGTAAAAGTAGATATAAAATAGAGTAATGTACTAATAGACTAATGCAAAAATTATTTATAACTTTGCTAAATCTAATGAATTTTAAATTTTTATTTTGAGGAAATGTTTTCTCTGTTAATAGCATATGAGTATGACAGATAACAGCAATACAATAATGTAGAAGGAATTCACAAGATATCTATTCCAATTTTATTAATATTTTGAACTTCCACCAGAGATTCTCGATAGCGTTCAAGCTAACTGACATTGTTATTAATGAACCAATTCTTGAATGTTGTCAGACATTACAATGAAATATTTGTATGTTTCGTATTATTGTCTTGACCAAGACTAAGTTTTTTCAGCAAAATGATTGATATTTTATTTCATGATCTTGATATATTACTATTTTTTTTTTTTGAATAAGCCATCAATTTTTACGAGGTTTTCACACACTTTGGATGAAATGTATACCCAGAAGTTTAAATTGTTCTTTGAGATCATAGCCTCGCCATTCTTTCTCCAAAAATTCCTGTGCCCAATTTCTTGTTTTATTTGATCACAGAATTATGACTGAAGGCTTTCAAATTTAGGATTATTTATTGTTTAGTAATTCTTATATATCTTGTAGTATGGGAAGTAGCACTTAGAATGTTTTTAGAATGGTTTTACAGTCCTCATAATTTTTGCAAGAAAGCCACAATGCGAATTCTTAAAACTTCACTAAATTCTTTGGCTTCACTCATGCTACACCATTCTGAGGAATATAAACTCACAATTATTAAATCAATAAAAGCAATAAAATAATAAACCAAAAAAGGTTAAACAATATTCAGGCGGTCTCAGAATTTGATTGTCAAGTTTTATCACTACTCTTTCTATTGTCTTAAATTTACTAATTAATTAAGTTAAATTTACTAATTAATTACTAAGTTAAATTTACGGCCAATTAAGTAAAATGATACGAAAAAATACAAGTTTTTTTTCACGTTTCTCTATTTCTTGCTAAAATGACTTACTTGGAAGAAAAGCGGCTTCAGTGTTTTGTCTCTTTCTTTCTCAGCTGAAAACAAAACATGGACGTCGACTTTTAGTTCCATCAAAATGTCGACCATTGCTAATTTATCAATTTCCCAAATAGCTGCAATCAACGGTCGACTGACTTCCGGTGTATTTTTGAAATGTTTTTGGTATGACACATCCATTGTGTTGATGTCAATATTTTGCATTAAATCTGAAAAAAAGAGAAAATAATGGGAAAATATTTAATATAAAAACAACTTAGTCATAAAAGACACTGTATTCGCTATTATTATTAATGTAGAGCCAAGTTCACTAGGAAAGTTATCCATAAATGTGACAGTTCTTTAATGATGGAAACTAATAAGCGCATTAATAAAAGAGTTATAATGTATTTCTGAAATTTTCGGATTAGCAGCATCATTCATACTCCAACCGAAACGTGTGATAAGACAAAAGAAGAAAAAAAGAGAAATAGATGAATCATTGAATAATTGATTTAATATATATTTGGTATTTTTTCGTTATTTAAAGGCCAATCATATTGTTTATAGGATAGAGTTAACCATGACCCTGTGCAATTAGTGTCTAACGAATGGCCAACAAGAGTTCGCCAAGAATTGCCAAGAAGAATTATCATATTATGATAAAATTAACACAAGAGGGTCGCCTGTGCTAAAAACAAAAACTCTTTCTGTTATAAATTGTAGAGCGTACACAATGAAGAAATTTTGCTGCATTATACAATAAATACTTTCAATTAAAAACAGAAATTGTTAATGCAGTCATAAGTGTTTTACCTTTTTATGAAACAAAAATAATAGATTTAAGAGCACTCTTTATTTTTTGCCACCTAACGAACGATTTCAGATGTAAATTTGACTTGTTTTGTTAATAGCAAACTTCAGATTCATTTGTAAATGTGTCTGTTCGCGTCTCATTATTCAGTCATTAATCAAAATAACACAGATTCATCTTTATTTTGATCGCCACCGTACGCTACAAGATTCTCTCGATAGACCAAAACGACTGAGCAGACGAAGATTGTTTGAAAATAAAATGTTTTCATATTTCGAATAAAAGTATTTCTGAAAGTAAACATGAAAACAACAAATCATTAATTAATAAACAAAGAAATTAATTAATGTAGATGGTGTTAATCGGATTTTCATACAATTATTTTTTTTTAATTATTTTCTTAATTTTTCTATTACAGAATTGTCATCTCTCACCCTGAATTAAATTTTTCGGCGTAACACTTCAATATGCCCTGTCAATCGAATTTTTTAAAAAGTACACACGTACAGACAACACACATACGCACGCGCGTTATCAAGAATTTTCTTATTTTCAAGCTTTCTGTAATTCTATCTAATCAGGTCAACAGCGAAACAATCATGGACACAATTTCCGGTATGTGAACAATGATGTGTGTATGTATATGTTGAAAGGATGCAAATAGTTTTCTATGTATGCGTATCTGTGCGAGTATTTGCGAATACGTTTTGTACTTTTATATCTCTCTGGGTATGTGTGTGAGTGTACGTTCCTGGTGATACTCCACGGCACAGCAGCGAAGTTAATTTTTTAGATTAATTGATATTCACACATTCATTAACTATTCTGTTATTCTTGCATAACATCATATATAAATATATATATATATATATATATATATATCTGTGTGTGTGTGTTTGTGTGTGAAAGTGATTTGAAAAGAATAACCCAAATAATCCACGTCATCACTAAAACTCCATATATTTTTATACGTGAGTTTGTGAGCGTGCAGATAACACCAGACTACAACATAAACCCATCAAAAACAAAAACAAAAAAAAACAATCTTAGTTAATTTTTGGGCACTGGAAATAATGATAATATCCAAAATTGTTGTTTGGCTCAAGATTTCAAGATACGGTACTAGTGTTATATGAATATTTCATCAAAATTGTTGTCCTTGCCAGATCAATCATTATTCTCCTAATAACCTTATTATATATAATTATTCTCCTAATAAACTAATTATTATTCTCCTTTCAACTCGGGTTTTCACACATTTAACTGATCTGTGACATATGCCTCGTGAATGTTTGAACAAAGCCGATAACTTCTATGTGTAGCGAAGTGACTTTTGCATCTCAAAAGTGAAATATAAGCTTACCAGTTATATTTTGAATACAAAATTGGAAACCAAGACCAAAAGTCTGCACAGCACATATGCTATAGTACCTGTGCAACAATTCTGAGACAACGGCTAACCAGGAAGAAAAATATCTATGCGTTTTGTAGCACCCATGATTTGGAGAGAGACAACTCATCACGTCACTGATTGCTACTTCTGCACGGTGCGTCCAACTGCTAAGGAACTGTCAAAGAAAAAGAAATGGAAAGTGCAATATCCAAATATTCCATCAGCCTTACAAACCAGAAGAATGGAGACTGTTCATTGATTCCTCAAAGACAAGTTTCAAAGCTGTTTTATTACACAAAGGTAGTGTTTTACCTTCAATCCCTGTTGGTCATGCAGTTCATATGAAGGAAACTTATGAAAATGGAAAAACAACAACTGGGATGTATCTACCATAATCAACATAACTTGCACCTTTGCAGAGATTTGAAGGTTGTTGCTCTTTTGCTAGGACTGCAAGGTGGATATGCCAAGTACTGTCGTTTTATTTGTGAATGGGACAGCTGAGACAGAAGTTCTCATTATATCAACGACAATCCATGGAACCTGGTGGGAAAAGTGTTCAGCATCCACCACTAGTAGGGTCGAAGAAATTTTTGTTGCAACCTTTTCGAATCAAGTTTGGTCATATAAAAAATTACGTGAAATCTATGGGCAAAAGAAAGGCAGCATTCAAGTATGTGCGGAATAAATTTCCCAAAATATGCAAAGCAAAGATAAAGGAAAGCATCTTTATTGCTCCTCAGATTTGTAAATCTCTTTTGGATTAAAATTTTGTCAGAGTACTATGGGGAAAATAAAACACGACATAAAAAGCTTTCAAGTATGTGGTAACCAACATTCTGGCTAATGAAAGAGCAGAAAATTACAGAAAACTGGTGGAAAACCTTCTGAAGGTATACAAACGTCTTGCCTGTAACATGTCGTTGAAGATTGATTTTTCCCACCAAAACTGTGGTACTGTGACATGGTGAACGATTTCATCAAGGCATTGCAGCAATGAAGAAAAGAGATCAGGGTAGGCAGAGTCCATAAATACTGGCTGATTATTGTTGGATCGTGACCAGAGATGATCCTTCTGCAGTTTAGAGAAGACAAACTAAAAAGCAAAGTGTGGTTGCTGAATAACTGCTCATGTATATATTATTGAAGAGAGTTTTGCGGTTGTATTTTCAATAAATACTTATACTGCCATTTTGATGTGTTTGTGTATTGCTATGGTAGTCTACATAGAACAAAACATTAAAGCAGATTTTGTAAAGTAACATTGTTTTTTTGTTTGGTGGGTGGGAGTCATCCATTGTACTCATATATATGACTAAATATCTCTAAATCTAGAGCTAATCATCCAATTTGAAGGTCATTTCCAAATTCAATATGCCAAGCTACATAACATTTGGGACATTTAATTTCTGAAGTAGTCACCTTGTGATAAATTATACATCAGTGTAATCAAAGCGACTGGTGACCATTTTTCGATTAATTCAATCTTGACCAGCAACCACCAAGCAGGTATTGATTATTTGTCTATGTCTGTATAAACAGGTCTGTATCCATGGAACACCCAAATTAACCCATTATTCCTTTACTATACCTACAAAAAGAGTTCGGAAAGAAATTAATTCCATGTATTTCAATTCACTACCGAATTGTTTGAATAAATAAAATTCATGAAAATTGTATGTCTTGAAAAAAAAAAGGAAAAATGAAAGATGATTCGAATAAAACCCGGATTTATATACAAATACATCTAAAATAAGATAAAAAAAAATATTGGGATAATAATAAATGTGAAAAGAAAATGTGACTGACGAATGTAAGTTTTACATTAGCCTGTATTGATAGAGAAAGAAAAATAAATAACAAGAATTTCACGATCTCTAAAAATAGACGGATAATAAAAATCATCAAGCAATGAAAGCAATAGATTAACCAACTAATCAGAAAGCTTTTACAACCAGCATATAGCCCGCGCGTCGATGAGAAGTAGAGCGCCCTTTTCGAACTAGATATAAAGATGTGTATATAAACAGATGGAAAATCAACATAAATCAAAGTCGATAAATTAATTTTGTCCATTCTCCGATGCTGTGGTCGTCGTAACATACCCAGAGACGAAATACAACGACTAGATGACGGCCTTACACAGCTAAAACGTTCTGGCTACACTGAAAACAAACATACCTTTCTTTGTCACGTGGTCAAGCGGATATATATATATATATATATATATATATATATATATATATATATATATATCCTCCCAGACTCTTTCTCTGTCTCTCTATCTCTGGTATGCACCAAAATTACTACACTTGAAACTCTTGAAACTTCAACTTTCACCTTATCGTTCTTTATTATTATATTTGGATATATGTCATATAGGAAGAAAATGAGTAACTACCGGCACCGAGGTTCGAGTGAAATACTCTGGACTTATGAATATATGTTTTCCGCCAGTTAACGATTAAATCTTTCGACAATCACACACACACTAATCAGACAATAAACGATGTTATAATAATGGTCAATTCAATAAAAGAAAGATGATTATGTAGTTAGTAACCATTTTGATCCAATCTGAGGCTCGTCACCTTTTGAAATCCAACTTTTAATGATACAGGATCTACCACTGAGGCATGCTAAAGCAAATTCGATAGTATTTTCGTATTTCTCCAAAAGCCGAACAGTTTGAATGTGATGCGGGTTCTGCTGCGCCATCAACTTCAGATTGATAATAGTGCCGTTCTTTTTTAGAGTTACTCGACACCATGACTGAAGCAGACGTTCGACTAGACGAAGGTTCACTTTACTTGCTTGAAGAGCGTTCCATAAACCTACAAGAAAGAAGAAAAATTATTCCTTATGTACACCAAATCATATGAAATTGCCGGGGCAATTGCTTAATTGTAAAATACACAACGAAGAAAATGCATCACTATAGATAGTCATGATGACTTTTTATGGATCATAGTGACAAAAGGAATGTGAGATCGAATCTCGCCTACAGTTTATTATATATTTTCGATTCACGTGTTTCACAAAACGACTTCTTGCTATCCTGTCGTATTGGCTGCGTTTTCTTAGTACATAGTACATGTGATATATAAATTGGGAGTCAAAGATGTACATGGCAATAAATACAGTTCTGGTGATATTAAGAAAAATATCGGAAAAAAATTTCCATATTAAATAAATTATTTATGAATTCTATGCGTTAATTTTCTCGTAATTCTTAGATTCATATCAAATATGAATATGATAAAAGAGTTTGAAAGATTTCTGGTAACTTTTCAAATTCGTTTACCAACAATTTGTAAATGACATTTTTTTAACAGTCGACAACTTTCTATACCCGACAAATCAGTTGATCTTTTCATGTCATGGTTACATCTTGAAAGTGGCATTTGCTTAAAATTCTATCTAAAATATCCATAACTTATTTTATACATAAACTATCAGTCATATGTGGCAGAAAGGTATTTTGTGTATTCGAGTTCAGATGTTTTGTCTTTCTATTTTATAACCAACTTCAGTTGTCAATATTTATTGCTGAAAAGTAGAATTGATATCTGAGTTGAGTACAGTGGCCAAGAAGGAGACCAAATATCAGCATCAAATAATAAGACCAGTGATGACACAGAGGCCGGGGAATTGCCCTGTTGTTGGAAGACCCCCCGAAGTGTATAATCGATATTGCGGAGTTCTTTGAGCGTGCCAAGAGTTACGCACACCTTGTCGTGAAAGACGGGCTCTTCGAGGGCCCCAAAGAACTGAAGAAGATCGAGAAACGAATCGTGTCAGTCTTCGTCATCGATAAGCGTACGCGCAAGATTTGTCGTTCGACGAAAAACACAGTGGTAAAAAATCGTCAAGGGTTCGCGCTTTTTCATGTGGGACATATTGCTACCCACACCAGAAGATTGCCTGAAGATGACATCTAGAGAGATAATTACCAAAGACATTATTCTGAGAAGAGAATATGAAGGCAGGCGTAGGACCATAGTAGCGATATACGATATCGGGGAACACCTAGCGGCCTTCCTGTCGCAGTATGGCGAAATTCTGGGTCTTTCCAGCGATAGCTTGACCGGGGGGGTGTTGTTTTGACATCATGTTAGATGAAAAGGCCTTCCTCTCCATCCCCAACTGTCTGGAGGTTGGGAGCCTGAAGCTGCCGGTCATCGTGACTGGCCGCAAACCAGTGTGTTGGAAGCGTGGGAAGACTGGTCACCTTTCCTCTTCCTGTCCAGAGAAGAAGACCTCTGGAGGTCAGGCCCCAAGTGACCAATATCCCCCTCTGACCGCGTCTTCGAATACCGCCTCGCCTGTAATGGGCATGCCAGCTGCTGGGACTGGAGTGGAGAATCCCACGGTTGGGTCAAAATCGAAGCCCCTATTCCCCGAAGAGCCTTCGCCCTCTGCTAGTGCAGTTGTGGAGAAGGGAGAGGGGGGAATGGCTGGTTGTTGGCAAGGGCAGAGGGAAGCTCCGGACAGCGGGTCCTCAGTCCCCTGAATCCCCCGGGACAAAAGACACGGATAGTCCCACTCCCATTGTCAACAGTAAGGGCGATGCCCCGGCCTTGGAAACATCATTGCAAGAACTGCAAAAGAAATACGATCCTGGTTTTGAGAAGACCGAAAAAATTAAAAAATTGAAAGAAAAGCTCGACTCCCAAAAGGACCCTAAATCTAAAAAGGCCACCCCTGCAACCGCCTCTGCCCCACATTCTCAAGAGACACTTTCCTCCCATCCAAAAAAGACCTCCCCTAGGAAAAATGTTACTACCTCCACATCTTCACGGAAACAGTCCTCCCATCCATCATTTCCTGTCAAGTCCCCTTCATCTCAAAAGGTCACTTCTTCCACTTCCTTCCATTCCTCAACCCCTCTCAGTAGAGACCCCAGCCCTTTCAGACAACATTTTACTCCCTGTCCCTCTCCTAGTCCTTCACCCCGAAAACTGCCCCTTAACACACCTGAAATGCCCCCTCCTATTAGTAAACACAAAGAAATCCTAATCAGGACGTAAACGACAAGAGAAAGAAACTTCCCAAACACATCTACAACAGTGGAGAAGTCATCTGCCGCATTTCCTCGACTCAAGCAGAGAAAGCCAGGGATTATGGCAATAGGATCAAGAATCTTAAATATCTACTATCTATTAAGCAATATGCTGATAAAGACATTGAGGATCCCAAAAAGGCCCAACGGGTTTTGACGGTCATCAGAACTGGCACGGGAGCGCGTCAAGTTTGGGCAATGCTGGATGAGTCAATAGCCTCCTTCAAAATGACGCCTCCCATAGCGATTGTACAGAACGACAAGCTAAAAAAGCTAAAACAATTTTGTGCTGGGCGGGTCCCTATTTTCGTTCACCCCTCCCTCTATAGAGCACCAAAATTGACCTTCCACTGGGATGTCGGCGGTCTCTCCCAAGACGGTACCATCCAAACTGAGATGGGCCATGGGTCGATGGGAGAGGCGGTTGGTATCCTTTCCCCGACCATGTTTAATTCAGCAGAGCAACCCTAATCGGTCTGACAATGTCTCTCTGGTTAGCTAGTTTGAATGCCCGAGGCCTGAGGTCCGAGTCTCGAAGGGCGAGGCTCTATCATGACCTTCAGCGTCTCGGGGTAGATGTATGTTGTGTGCAAGAGACCCGTTTTTCTTCTCGCGATCATGACAGCATTGTGTCTAGAGGGTTTTCCCTCTTTTCAGCATGTTATGATGGACGCTCGAAGGGTGTCTCTTGGCTGGTGAGCAAGTCCTTGAAGGCTGCGTGTGCTCTTGTCTTCGCAGATCCGGCGGGCAGACTTTGCGTGCTGGTTGTTACCATAAAGGATAAGGCTTTACGTCTCATTTGGGTTTATGCGCCCAAAAAGCATTTTGAGCAGCCTGCTTTGTTTCAGCAGATCGAGCCGTTCTTGGCGTCATTACGTCGAGTAGTTTTAGCGGGGGATTGGAATGCCGTCCTTGACCCCGATATAGATCGTATTGGGTACTAACAACCCGGACGTGAAACCATTTCGGGACTTTATCGACAGGTTTGATCTTGTCGATAAATACCGAAATGAACACCCTCGGAAGGTAGTGTGGACTTGGACTAATAGTGGCAGCTCGGGTACTCAGGTGCTTTCTAGCTACCTGGACCGAGTCTTAGTTAGGAGAGTCAATGTAGGGCTCTTAGGGTGTCCAAGTTTCCATTATATAGTTTATTCGGATCATAGGCTACTCCGGGTCCGGGTAAACTTAGATAAGCCTAAGGTTAAGATGGCTGGTTACTGGAAACTGAACTGCTCATCATTTGGGGAGCAAGATTTCCGGGACCAGCTGCTACTAATGATACAAAGGGAGCTGACGGAGGCTGTGGTGGGAAATGCCTGGTGGGATAATCTTAAATCCAAAATTAGAACGTTTGCTGCTGATTATATTCGTCGGCTCAATCTAGATAGATTAGCGGCGCAAACGGCTTGTGAGCAAAAAGTTGATCGGGCGATTAAATCCCGTGATAGTGGGGACGTAGCCTTAGCTAAGACAGAGTTGGCCTCCTTGCTTATCAAGAAGGATCAAGCTCTGGTAGTTAGGGCTAGGTTAAAAAGAATGTCTCCTGAGGCAACGAATATGGCCGCTGAATTGCGTGCAGAGGAGGTTCGGAGTGCATCTCGGCAGCATATCGCATGCGTCACATTGCCGGATAAGCGGACCGTGACTACAAACGAGGGCATATGTGAGGCTTTTCGTGAGTATTTTCAGGAACTTTTCACCAGGGAGCCGGGTCTGAGCCCTGCTCAGTTCGACGCCTATTTAGCTGACTTCCCCTGCCTTGAGGCAGCTGGAGCGGCTAGGTGCGAGGGTCCCATAACATGGGATGGTCTTCAGTACGAAGTGTACTTGAGGCAGTCGCCCGTTTTTGTTCCCTTGCTGGCACTGATTTTCAGCAACTGGTTGAAGCAGGGGTCTATACCCCAACGTTTCACCAGGGGCGTAACCAAGTTGTTACGTAAGGATAAAAACGGTGGGGATGGGCTAGGTAACTTTCGCCCTTTAACTATGTTAAACACAGAGTTAAAGATTTTGGCTAAGGTCTTAGCGAACCGCTTGCAGGCTGTCCTATCTAGTCTGATTGGCTCCGAACAGACTTGTGCTGTGAAGGGCAGGACTATTCAGGACAACCTTCATATGGCACGCTTGATCATCGAGCAAGTCGACAGTGAAGCCGCGCTGATCAATTTAGATCAGTCCAAGGTCTTCGATAAGGTTGACTATCGCTTTCTGGGGGCTGTTCTTTCGGCGGCCGGTTTCGGGCCGTACTTTCGCACCTGGATCCGACTTCTGTATGCGACCCCCGGTGCGCTGGTGGAGGTGAACGGAGTACGATCGGAGCCTTTCGTATTGTCAAGGTTGTCCGCTTTCGCCTTTGCTGTACGTTCTTGCGTTGGAACATTTACTTCGCAAGTTAAAGACGAATCCGGTCCTACGCGGAATTTCCCTACCTGGCGCTACCAATGCACCCAGGTATTCTGCCTATGCTGATAACGTTTCGGTTCTTGTGTCGAGCAGGGCCGAGATTAACGAAGTCAGCAAAGAAATCAGTGGTTATGAGATGGTGACAGGGGCCAAGATCAACCGCGATAAGTCTGTTGGCTTGCGGTTGGGTGCGTGAAAGGGAGTTTCTCTTCCCGGAACTTTCCTCTGGACGGATGGGCCGGTCAAGATTCTCGGCGTCTGGTTCGGTCCTGATCTCCAGTTGGATATGAATTGGTCGGAGGTGCAAGGGAAGGCCGAGATCGCAATTAATTTGTGGTCTCGGAGGAATCTTTCCTTAAAGGGGAGGGCGGAAGTATGTGTTTCACACATCTACCCAATTCTCCTTTACCGACTCTGTGCTTCCACTTCCGTCTGACATTTGTTCTCCTTCATGTGGGGAGGTTAGGCTGCCAGAGTATCTCGGGAGATCTGTTGCCTTCATCCATCTGAAGGCGGTCTAGGTATGCCTAGCATTGAGATTCGTCAACATATGCTTCGCATCGGGTTCCTGGATCGAATGTGTCGCGAACCGGATGAGGTGGGCGCCTTCTGGAAGGAAAACGCCCATAAGAACTTCCCATCCTTGAGAAGTGTGCACTCGGCCGAGGGGGAGGCTCACCGTTTACCCAAAGCCGAATGCTCCTTCTACCGTGAATGTCGTCATGCTCTGAAACAACTCTTATGGGCGTTGGATGGCCTCTCCAACGCCCAGGCGTTGTCTCGTAAGGCATTATATCAGGTGTTAGTTAGTGGGGGGCGTTCATGATGATTTGATTGACGAGCTCGGTCTTACGAAGCGGGAGGCTCGCTCGATATGGCCTTGGGCGCCCGGGTTGAGATGTCTCAATAAATGAGGCATCACTCACCTGGTTGGTGATGCGTAGGGCCCTCTGGGTCGCCAAAAGACTTTGCTTAGCGGGCTTGGAGAAATATCCAAACTGCCGCCGCTGTTGTGGGGAGGTCGAGACCATTGTTGAAGGCCTCATGGTTCGCATGCTGCTTGGAAAGTTCTTTGTCCTTGAGGCCGCTTCTGTTTGTAGCAATGTGGCTCCGCCGTTGACGAGGGCTGAACACTGTTCTTATGGTGTTATGAGTGTCATGATTTGGACGACACGTCAGAAGGGATTCTATGGAGGCGAGAAGTTTACCTCTTCCCAGCTGATCTTGTACTTTAAGCATCAGCTTAAGGTCAAGATTAGGTCGGAAAGGAGGCGAGTCACTTCATCTGAATTCGGCAAAAGGTGGGTGCATCTTGCGCGTTTGTGTCGTGTGAAAGGGGTTGACCTGGAGTGGCACTTTGATGCCGGTTAGGCATCAGGATATTGCTTTAGCTGGGTTAAACACGGTCAACCCACCCAAAAATTTAGGTTAGCTTAGGTTTAGTTTTTTGAGTCTTTAGTTTCCTTTTTCAGTAAACTTAGCTAGGGTATGTATGCTCATTGGCCCCATTTATTTCTGTCCCTATCTTTCTTTAAGTTTAATTCCCCATCCCCTCCCTCGTTAGGTGGTCAGTGACGTCAGTTCTCTTGTGGATGCGGGGCGTTTTTTCGTTTCGGGTGTGATTTTTCGTATTTGTTGTTGTGTCTGAATGAGTGCATGTGTGCGCGAGTGCTTGGGATGAATGAATGTTTTTAATTTCTTATAGTCCCGCATTAATTTCCTCTAGTTAACTGATGTTTCTGCCATATTTAGTGATTGTGGGGGTTTTATTACTAACACAATTTTGTTTAGTTTCTTGTAAATAGTTATTTGTTTCATACTGTAAATACTCATTGGGGTTACTTAAAAAAAAAAAAAAATTTAAATTGTTGTTTTAATCCCCTCCCCCCGACAGACCACGAATTGTATATATGGGGTCTAGTTAGTATTTTCATGGAGTCATTGAGGTATTATGGTGGGTGTGGTGAGAAAGGTAAGTAAGAATGTGTTGTTAGTATGATTGGGTCAGCGTTTGTGGCTAGCTAAGTTTAGAAGTTAACACAGAAGACCGACCACTTCCCCATACCCCACTTCGGCCTTGTGCCACATTTTCTGTTATAGCACAGAAATAAATTACGTTGAACACAAACACAAATGTTAATGTCTATGTCCATTGTAAAATTGTGTTGTTTAATACATATATTTGTTGATATATATATATATATATATATATATATATATATATATATATATATATATATATATTTTATTTAGGCAGCAATCCTTGCTTTATGCATGTTTCATTAAAAACGACAGACAAGGTACTACGGTTGAGCTTTTTATTTAATTTTTCTTTAATACTATATTTACACACGTCGACAAACCGAAAATCTATGTTCGCTACGTAGACGATATCTTTATTTTAGCTGATAACACTAAAGAAATAGAGACACTTAAGACCACATTTGAGAAAAACTCCGTCCTTAACTTTACATATGAACTTAGCCAAAAAAACAAACTACCATTCTTAGATGTCCTTGTTGAACACACCAAAACTCATCCTCTCGACTACTCTTTCTCAAAGAACTTAACAACGTTAAACAAACACTAATCAACAACGGTTTCCCTAACTACCTTATAGACCAACAAATTAGACTATTTCTGTTAAAAAGCAAGTAATAACGATAGCGAACACAAATAAAAAATCATATACACATTTATTAGAAAAAACCAAATGCATATTAATTACAAACAATACGAATCTTCTCTAAGGCATATTATAAAGAAATATACTACTCCTATTGATCCGAATAAAAAAATCAAACTTATTATCTATTATAAAAAATTTAAGACGGCCAACCTTATCCTCAAAAATAACAACACACCAACTAAGTCAAAATTAAAAAGAACAAACATTATCTATGAGTTCAAATGCCCTTTAAGGAACTGCGTTCGTCACCAAACCGGACTCATAAATAATTACATCGGCTACACAACCACATGTTTATCCAGACGTCTTACGTTACACCTATCTGATTACAGCTCCATCAGAACACATTTAAACACACACCAGATTTACCCGACACTATTAGGAACATACTAGTAGAAAAACACACATATATTAACTGCATCCACTTGAAAAAAAAAGACTAAAAATAATGGAAGCTCTAATAATAAAAAAGAAAAACTCTTAACAATATTAACTATGAACAAAGCCATAATGTGCTAACCGTATTCGGAAATTAAAAACATCACTACCACACACTGAACATACACAGAATGCACACACTCTACTAAGCTGATAATCGAATAATCCTTGATAATGGCTAAAGGTATAGCCGAAAGCGCTCGGAAATACAAAACATTCGGACAGTTCTTACACACCCTTTGTCCAGAAAAGAAAGCTCTTGTCAGAACACAGAAAAAATTATATAAAAAGCTCAAGCGTAGTACCTTGTCTGTCGTTTTTAATGAAACATGCATATATATATATATATATATATATATATATATATATATATATATATATATATATATATATATCGGTCTTGTTGGTTTTCTTTACACTTCTTTATGGTAGATTCAATCTCTAAGTCCGCCATGTTCTTGTAGTGGATCTTCTTCTAGCAGGAATAAACGCACGTGTTCCTAATTTAAAAACTCGTAAACCCATGGTCCCCTACAAATTTTTATTGGTTAAAAATGGACATAATAAATAAGTTATGTTGAATGTTTCTCTTTCTTTCCAAGCATAAACGTTACACATACCACTGCCTTTATTAATTATTTACTAAGATAACTGGTTCTAATCGATTACCATTTTCATTTCGATAAAACAAAACGCTCTATTACGTTCGTATCAGATTAACTTTTTTACGTGAAACTTATTCAAAACATTTCCGGTGCGTAGCTTTAAATCCTTTTTCCTGAAACAAATAACTCACCGGGTTTAAATTTGTTATAATTGCTGAGCATTTCTTCCCAACCAGGTGGTTTTTCTTCCAGTAAAATATCTTCTGCTGTTTTTCCCTCTTTATTTCGTATTTCCGTATCGACTCCGCATCTGAAAGAAGAAAAAAGAAAACAAAATGGCAACAGAAGACAATTAAAATTCTGCATGGAATTCATAAGCAGTAAAACAATATTATGAACCAAAGAAAGCAAGTAAAACTTAAAGGAACAATCAGGAAGTAAAAACGAAACAAGCAAATCCAAGCACAATAAATATAATATTATACAATTTGAAAAGAAATTCCACAGTACGGTGGTCCTGGAGATTGACAAATGTAATTCTAAACATCGCCACAAAATGTTTGGCAATTTCTAAACAAAACCCTTTGTGTATATATATATATATATATATATATATATATATATATATATATAGAGAGAGAGAGAGAGAGAGAGAGAAGCAAACAATAAACTCACGAGTCACAGATCTCCAATACTCCGAACGATGATTTTTTTATTGATGTTGGCCCATGAACACGAGTATCTCCAGAAGTCAGTGGACAACTTCTCTGAAGCGTACATGCGCTACGGATTCACCATCAACTTGACAAAGACTAAGGTCCTGTTACAATCACGACTAGGATATCAACCACCACCTGGTGTTAAAATCGCCATCAACAGACTGGATCCGGAGAATACTGAACAATTTCCATAATTTGGCAGCGTACTAACATGAAATACATCCGCTGAAAAAGACGTCAAATAACCGGGAAACTATTCAAAAGAGCTAATACAAACCACCAAATTCATGGTTTACCGATCTGTTGTAATCTCGACTCCCCTGTGCGCCTGTGAGACCTGGGTATTCTACCGAAAAGACATCCGCAAACTTGAAAGATTCCATCAGATGAAACGTCAAATCCTGCAGCACACATGGCAAGACCGGATCACGGACAACGAAATTTTCCTCCGCGCAAAGATAGCGAACTTAGAAACCATCATGACTCGTCACCGAATTCCATAGGCCGGGCACCTTTCTCAAATGCCACACATCCGACTACCCAAACAAATTCTCGTATCTGGCAAGAGACCAGGTGGATCCCCACGTCGTCGATTCGTGAATCAGCTCAAAAACACCTTGCTGAGGACGGAGATTGATCCAGTCAAATGTAAGAGGGAAGCTACAGAAAGAACCAATTGGAGTAGAGCAGTCCACGAAAAAACAACATCCTCCGAAAACTCCAGAAGACAAATAGAAGAGATGAAGAGAGGCCAAAGAAAAACCAGAGACCTCCATTTCCTAAACCCTCCTACTCTACCATACAGAGGCTGTGGACGTCTCTTCAGATCCAACATAGGACTCATTAAATATAACATGCCTGAAAAATATAACATGCCTGAAAAATACATTTTTGTCTTTTATACACACACACGTACACACATACACACACACGCACATACACATATGCGCGAGCGTGTGTGTGTGTGTGTGTGTGTGTGTGTGTGTGTGTGTGTGTGTGTGTGTGTGTGTGTGTGTGTGAATAAAGATAATAGGAACGCTATTTTACATTTTATAAACAACATTTACAGACTTTCGTTTATTTGGTATTACTCCATACTTTACTTTTACTTTCACAGTTAGCTTTTAAAAAAAATTGACTTCTTAAATTTAAAAATGTTGAAAACAATGTCTTTATTTCTGTTTATAAATACATGTTGCAAAATAAAACACTTATATTTGCCTTCATAAAGTTCATCAGAGGACGGAAATCATTGGTAAAGAATTTACTTTTGTCTTCATTCATATTGTCTTTTTCCAGATATATTTATATAATAACTGTAATTACGTCATATTTGGATAAGCACCAATGTCAATAAGATGCCAAAGTGGGTCACTGAACAAGTCTTTTTATATATACGTCTATAATAGAAACAGCAATGTCTGTGTCAGGTCGTAATATCTACAACCATTGTAGTCACGGTTCAGTGCATTTCGTAGATAAATGATTGCGTTTATGGGCTAGTAACACTGACTGGTTGCGTAAGTGGATAAAAATGTAGCCAATCGGGTTAGCTTCTGATGAAGAAGTGATCATTCATATGACCTTTATTCCATAGTAGGATTTATATTATTTGCATATATGCCTTTTTTTATTGCGAAGGCATTCCGGCGTCATCTATTTTTTAATGCAATAGGATAGCTTGATTTCACCGAGCTACGTTAAAATAAAGATATATTTTAGATATTTTAGATATATTATAAATTATAATTATATATATTATAAATTATAATTCACTCATTAGTAATTTAAGTCATAATATTACCTTACTACTCATGAATCTATGAATAATTCTGTTAAAACGAAAAGTTATTATCCTGTCATTAAGTGACAACGCAGAAGACGGGAAGTTAACAATTCGATGTAGTACGTCAAAAACAGAGTTAGAATCGAGCAGAGAAGTACAGGTTTTTAATTCCTTAAAATATCTCGATACTTCCTTTCAATGACGTACAAAATCAGTTTGTATTGGTTTTTACTGGAAGATTCTATAGTGCAAAATTCATGAAGGGAGGTTTGCAAAATCAGCTTAAATCTTATCTGAATGTGATCCCAATGGTACCCAATGAAGATCGATTTCACTACAGTGGGAATTCTGAAAGATTAGTAGACTAAACATGACTCCAAGGCGAGGCATCCTCTACCCTGGTATAACTATAATTTATATATAATAAATTGCCCTAAAATTAGTCCCAGCTGCCTAATAATGCATAGCTCCTCATAACGTGGCATGGGATCTACGAGTTACTGAAGACGTTACGTGAGTATATATCTGCAGATATGTTTCAAGGCTGTTTATAACTATGTTGTGTTTGCTGAATGTGACTGCAGGGAATTTATTAAAGTCTGTAACGTGTACATCCTTATTCAATGTGCATTAAATATTAGCAAGTGCAGAGGCCAGAGGAATACCTGGAAATCAGTTGATTGTTCCTGGAAGCAGTTTTGTATCACCGGAGCACGATAGGTGTAGGGTTAGATTACCTTGTAAGAACAAACAATCATTATCGGGAAACACGGCATGTATAAATGGGTGCAAATGTTTCAGAAAGAAGATCTGTTTGTTTATAAATCCTGTCAAGGAAGCTTCCAGTTTCACTTGTGTTTCTTGCGAACTCTAACAGAAACCGCACCATACAACCAGCTTCAACATGTGGTCTCTTTCACCTTCGAACGAGACTTTCTGCCCGAAAGACATGGAAGTATGACGGGATTCAGTCTGTTCCATAAAAGCAACAGTTCTAGGAAAGACGCTAAGTGGAACACCCTCCCTACTAATGGAATACGAAGGGAATGCGGATGAATCGCCCCTGTGTACGTGGCATGGTTGGTCCTAACTGTGAAGGTCTAAATTTCGGTGAACTAAAGTATGTAGCGCGTCTAAACATCTGCCATGGAAATAGCGATAGAGTAGTGAGAGCTAGCAGTGTTTTGTCTGTGTAGAAAAGGATTTGTGGGATAGAAAATAATTCACACCACAAGGCCACATAAACAGTTATAAACTGTATAAAAACTGAAAAGTGAAGATTGCGCAGTTCCAGCCTAGATATGGCAGCAATATCTATTTTTTGCTCAACTGGCTCTTATAAACATAAAGTATAGCAGAATGAGTCAGATACTTTTTGGGGCGGACCATTTTTCCAACAACTTTAGCGATGGTATGAATATACGAGTTACATTTGAGGTTTCAAGTGTGCTTGAGTCCCAATAGACGTTCAAGAGAAGGAGACACTTTGAGAGTATGATCACCCATTAAGATTGGAGTAAATTTAGAGTTAAGGTTACTAGCTTTCTTTTTGAGGTTACTAGTTTTCTTTTCGATGTATTGAATGATACAGCGGAGAGATCAGCTGTCAGGCTCTGGATATATAGATTCTTGTAGGTGGACCCATAAAACGTGCTATCGTTTGCTTATATATTTACTAATTATCTGAGCATGTTTTAGGGAAATCGTTAATATTAAGCAGTAAGAAGGTAGGACTGAGAAAAAACTCTTGAGGTATGCCTGCATTGTTCTCATGTGTTTCAGATGACATGCCTGAGAGGAGGAATTGATAAAGGCTTTCGAGATATCAGTCGCCCTCTTTATCACCAAGTACTTCACTGATTCACTGTGTAATGATGATTAAGAATCCAGAGGGGTAAAATCTGTACTGGTTGTTGGTCCATAGGTTGTTTCTAATAAGGTGACCAACAGCATTCTTTTTTATGGTAACCTAATGAGGTTTGCGGATGACACCAAGGACGCTGATGGTGTGATATTGTGACGGAGACTGGCGCTCATCTGCATTTTTGTAAAAAAGGCATACAGCTGACACCTTTCATGGTCTTTTCAGAGAAAGTGAGAGGGATAGAGAAAGTTATGTTGGCAGTCATAGTTGAAATGTTAACAGAAATAAATATAAATTTTATTCGAAAATTTATTGCAGTGTCCCATCCAATGAAAACCCAATTCCTAGTGTCCGAGCACCTATGTTTTAGTCTGAGTCAACATCCGTTTCTATTCAAAACTTATATATACAGTTTTATATGTACTAAAATATGTATCCTTCTGATGTAACATAGTAATTCAAATGAATCCTTCTGATGTAACATAGTAATTCAAAAAATTGTTTTGTTTGAGTCACTTAAACGCCAAAAGTTTTAGAATTTATTTGATTTTTAACTAAGTTAAAACAGAGACGAATATAGAAAAGTATTATTTGCCTACATTTTAGTTTAACTGCAACTGTAGAGCCGAATCATGTAGAGGAATGAGCTAAAGAAAAAGAGAAGTAGGTTGCATGAGAACGAAAAAAGGAGAAAGGAAATGAATAAGAACGTGACCTGTAAGTTAGATGGGAGAACAATATTTTAAGACAAAGTAAAAAGTAAATAATACAAAACGTAGAAACAGAGAAAATAACTAAATAGAAAATACCCAGTGTAAAAAGTAATCGGGAATTGATACAGAAGATATGCGGGCAAAACGAGCCTCGTCTAAAATTACGCTAAATCATTAGGTCTTGACATTTGAATTGATCGCCTTTGACCATATTTTACTCAAGCTTTA